TAACTGTGAAACATGTACAGGTGACCCTTGAACAGTACAGGTTTGAACCGCTCAGGATTGTTTTCAATAGTAAATCATACAAGGTTACACACTTCCTGGTGGGTTGAATCCGCAGCTGCAAAAAGGCAGATATGGAGGGACCCCGAGTAGGTTGGGCTGACTCATTTCAGGCAGATTTTCTAACAGGAGGAGGAAGGGTTGAGGCCCCAACCCCCTGTGGCTCAAGGGTCAACTGAACCTCTAAACCCAACTTGAGTGGCACATGCCATGCATACCACACTTGGGAAATACTGTTTTCTCTGACTTCAGAGCCCAATTCGATCATTAACTTCCTGCACATGTTTCTTTCATCACACCTCATGCTTCGCTTGTCTATAAAATGGGAGAAATTAGATTTCAAAGACCTCTCCTGTTGTAACTGACACAGACAGAGGTCTAAGAGGTCTTTGCATCCTGGGCTGGCTCCCCTCTTGGTTCAGAAGTCTGGCTTAATCTAAAAGAGTGGTATAAACAAACTCATTTACGAAACAGAAATAAAGTCATAGCTGTAGAAAACAGGCTTACTGTTACTAGGGAGAAAGGGTTGGCAGGGGGTAAATTGGGAGACTGGAACCGATTTATACACGATACGATATATAAAATAGATAACAAACAAGGACCTACTGTACAGCACAGGGAACTCAACTCAATACTCTGTAATGACCTACATGGGAAAAGACTAAAAATAGCAGATACATGGATATGTATAGCTGATTCACTTTGTTATACAGCAGAAACTAACTCAACCATACTGCCATAAAAAGTGCATTATTAAAAAAAAGGTCTGGCTTTATGCATCCACCCAGAACCATCAGGCCTCAGGAACTAGCTCCTGTGAGTCAAACTCACAAGAGGCGGAGCGACTGAAACCAGAGACGTGAATGCATTAGTGGACCTTCAGTTATTTGCCATCCCTGGGCTAGAATGCTCCATCCATGGAAGAACGCGTGTCCTTGCCAGCACTAGTGTTGGCTTCAGAGACTTACTAAGCTGCTCTGTTCTGGAGAGAGCAGCCCCGTGGAGCAACCAGGAAGTGTTGACTTTGGAGGAGGTCTTGAGCCAGAACTCGGCCTGCCTGTAAGAAGCGGCGTGCCTTGCTGTGTTTCTCGGAGCTTCACCATCTATCTGCGGGGGTCACTGCTCCCACTTCTCAGGTGGTGAAGAGTAAATGATATACTATATGGAAAAGCCTGGCACAAAGTCGATTAGCTGAGAGCTAGTGAGAGAAAGTATCATTTGATTGTGAAAGACTCAGGAGCAGGACCCGTGTCTAATTCAGGGGCTGCAGACTCAGAGGCCTGTGAGTTAATAACAATTGGCGTTGATATCCAGCAGGGGAATCCAGGTACTAACAGGACGTTAACTTTGTATGGTGGCGGATGGTAACTGGACATTGTTATGATCATTTTGCAGTATATATAAATGTCAAATTACTATGTTGTACATGTGAAACTGATACATTGTGTCTCAAGCACACTTCAATAAAAACCATAATAATCATTAGGCCAATCAGGGCAGCTACAGGATGGTGCATGGTGGCAAGCTAATAGCGAGGTGAGGACTTGGGTGACTTAGGGCAGGCCCTGACGAAAAGGAGTGGCTGCCGCTCACCTCCAGCAGTGGCCAGATCTCCTGACATAGCAAAGAAAAGCCAGACTTCGTGATTTTTAGATGGTAACTCCTGATTTTAAACTGGCACCCGGGGACTTCCCTCGTGGTCCAGTGGCTAAGGCGCCGCCACACCTCCCATGCAGGGGCCTCAGGTTCAATGCCTGGTCAGAGAGCTAGATCCCACATGTCACCACGAAGATCTGGTGCAGCTAAATAAATAAATAGACGGGCACCCAATTAAAATTTGCAAGCCAAGCAAAATACCTGTAGGGTTCGTTGCCGATCACCTCTTTGCAGCCTCGGGTCTACATTATCATCGCATTTCTTCCTGTTTTACCTACTGTCGGATCATAGTGCTTTTTGTGTAGTAGATGTCACTGAAGTGTGTGGAGATGCAATGGACAGGTGCAAAGCACCCCGGTGCGGAAGTAAACAGAGGCAATGAAGATCACTAAATTAGGGGGCCAGCCTGAACCCCAGAGGGGCTTCCCAGGTGGTGCCAGGGGTGAAGCACTGCCTGCCAATGCAGGAGACATAGAGATTCGGGTTCAGTCCCTGGGTCGGGAAGATCCCTGGAGGAAGGTGTGGCCACTCATTCCAGTACTCCTGCCTGGAGAGTCCCGTGGACAGAGGAGCCTGGTGGGCTGCAGTCCATAGGGTCGCACAGAGTCAGACACAACTGAAGTGACTTAACACACGCACGCATTGACCCCCGGGAGACTCTGCTCTAATCCGCCAACCCCTTCTTCCAGGTACCCGCACTGGTCCCCCAGCTCATCCGCCAGCATCCCTGCAGCCCGTTGCCCAAGGGGCTTCCTCCTCTGCTTCTCTTTTGGTGCTCTGACAATAATTCATTCTCTTTCTGATCTCAGCCATTGGCCACCCCCATGCCCTTTGGACTCCTAAAGTCAGGGGTCATGGTGCTTATGGGGGATGGGGGTGGGGGGGTGGGGAGGGGCAGATACAGTCCACACTATCACATCTTCCTGTTTTGCCCAGGTGGCGCTAGTGGTAAAGCAACGGGCTGCCAGTGCAGGAGACCCAGAGGTGCGGGTTCTGTCCCCAGGTTGGGAAGCTCCCCTGGGGAAGGGAATGGCAACCCACTCCAGTATTCTTGCTGGGAGAAGCCCATGGACGGAGGAGCCTGGGGGCTACAGTCTGTGGGGTTGCAGAGACTCGGACTCGACTGAAGCAACTTAGCACACCCAGCACCTGTTGCTCTTTGCAGTAAGCCCCCTACTTACCAACGAGTTCTGTTCTGAGAGCACGCTCTTAAGTCTAACTTGTTAGTAAGTCCCAAAAGTCAGCCGAGGTACCCAACCAACACAGTTGGCTATGTAGTACTGTGTGTAACAGGTTTGTAATACTTTTCACACAAATAATACGTAAAAAACAAATACAAAATAGAAAGAAAATATTTTGAATGTTTACAGTACAGGTGGCGCCAGTGGTAAAGAACCTGCCTGCCAATGCAGGAGGCAGGAGAGACGTGGGCTGGATCTCTGTGTCGGGAAGATCCCCCGGAGGAGAGCATGGCAATCCACTCCGGTATTCTTGCCTGGAGAATCCCATGGGCGAGGAGCCTGGCGGGCTACAGTCCACAGGGTCGTAAAGAGTCGGACACGAGTGGAAGGGACTTAGCACAGCACCTTGGAAAGTGCAGTGCTACAGAACAACAGCTGGCACACGGGGGCTGGCAACGAGTGAGCAGGCAAGAAAAGCTACTGGTGGAGGAGGGAGAAAAAGTGGGAGATGGTAGAGCTGAAGGGTGGCCAGCAAAAGGAGACAGAGGGCAGAGTGCAAGGTCACTCACACCTGACATTTATGGAACGCACGTTTGCAACTTGAGGTTCGTATGTCGGGGACTTTCTGTATGTCAGCGTCCACTTGACTATTACCTAGTACAAACCCCGGGAGAGCTGAGAGCTGTCTTATTCACTGTGGGGTCTCCAGCACCTAGAGGAGAGGCTCCCAGATCATGAACCACCATCGACCCCTTCGTCAGCTGTTCTGGGAGCATCTTCTCGGGGCCAGGCTGTGTACAGAGCTCTTCGTGCCCCTTCTCCAACTCAATCTCCTAAGGAGCCTGGGTTAGCCATTCTCTGCTCCCTGTTTCAGGCAATGGGCCTGAGCCTCAAAGAGAGGAAGTTTATTTGGCCAAGGTTGCACAGCAAGTGGGGATGGGGGTGGGAATTCAGACCCTGGTCTGTGGGCCCTCCAGGCACACCCTGACTTTGCCCTTGGCCATGACACCTAAGTGAAAATAGGACAGAGGGGAGTCCCAGCCTCATTGAGCATTGAATGAAATGAAAACCCCCTCCTTCCCTCACCGTGAGCCTTTCTCACTAACCTGTCACAGCTCCCAGCTGGCATCTTACCTGGGGGGTGACTTCTGGAGGAGTCCTGTAGGGCACTGCTGTGCTCCTAATTCTGTATCTTGGTTTCCTTATCTGGAGAGTGGAGGTAACTTTATTAGCTAACTCCTGGTGCTGTCATGAGTTAATACAGCGACTGTTGAGAATATGCCTAGAACATGGTTAAATTCTCAACAAATATTAGCTCTTGGGGGACTCCCCTGGAGGTCCAGTGGCTAAGACTCCATGCCCCTACTGCAGGGGGGCCAGGTTCAATCCCCAGTCAGGGAACTAGAACCTGCATGCCGCAACTATGACCCAGCGCAGCCAAATTAATTCATCTAAAAATACGAGCTATTATTTTATCAGAATGTCATTTATGGGGAAAGGATCCTCTAAGTTTTAAGGGAATTCTTGTTACATTATTCGAGTGTCACTCACTGAAGCTGTCCCAGACTCAAGGGTGCTTCCTGTTGGGGATCTCCCACCCTCTAACCTTGGACACTGAGTGAATATTTCAGCGCAGTAAATACTTCGATGTCTGTTGTCCTGTTTGAGTTAGCTGAGGCCTCAGGTTGGCTGTATGACCCCCCGGGTCAGATACTGCACGCATGCCTACTCAGTTGTGTCTGACTCTTTGCGACCGCATGGACTGTAGCCCACCAGGCTGCTCTGTCCATGGAATTCTCCAGGCAAGAATACTGGAGCAGGTAGCCTGTCCCTACTCCAGGGGATCTTCCTGACCCAGAGATCAAATCTAGGTCTCCTTCATTGGCAGGCAGATTCTTTACCACTGAGCCACCAGGGAAGCCCAAGCCCGTCGCTACCATTTATGGAGCCCCTTCCCCATCAGAGTAGTAGGTGTGACTCCAAAGTCCCCTGGTCAGCAGGCAAGCAGGGGCCGGGCACTGGAGGGCCGGACCCCTGATCCCAGCACGCGCTCCTGGGCCCTGCGGCTCCCGCCGTCACGTGCTGCCTCTCTTCCCCCCTCCTCAGCTGAGAACACCACCAACACCACCCAGGACGGGTGGCCCAGCTGCAACCAGCAGGAAGAGATGCTCAACCTGGGCTTCACCATCGGCTCCTTTGTGCTCAGCGCCACCACTCTGCCGCTGGGGGTCCTCATGGACCGCTTCGGCCCCCGGCCCACGCGGCTGATGGGCAGGTGAGGCAGTTGGGCTGTGGGGGAGCTGGAAGGGGCTGCAGGGGGCTGGAGGGCGGGATGGTGCTACAGGGGGAGGGAGGCAACTGCTCCCCCTTCCCTGCTTCTCCATAGTGCCTGCTTCGCTGCATCCTGCTCCCTCATGGCCCTGGCCTCTTGGAACACCAAAGGTGAGATGTCTGGCATCTTGTGCCCCCACCGGAAGAAAATGGGTGGGATGAAGGTGGATGGTGCCCCAGCTCCTGCCTTTAGCCTCCCCTAGCTCCCCAGAGGCCCTCATCCATCTTTCTTCCCTTCCCAGTTCTGTCTCCACTGATATTCCTGGCATTGTCCATGAATGGTTTTGGTGGCATCTGCCTAACCTTCTCTTCACTCACGGTGAGTATGACAGGCCCTGACCTGGCCGCAGGGCACCCAGGAGTGGGGTGGGCGGGAGGGGCGAGTGAGGGTGAGGGTGGAGAGGGACGCAGATCAAAGGCACGTGTGTGTGTGTGTGTGTGTGTGTGTGTGTCAGAGAAGGGTGGGTGTGAGGCTGTGTGTACAGATGAGGCTGTCAGAGTGGATGCTGGGTGTGTGTGTATGTGTGTGTGTTTCCCAAGCCCATACACCTGTCGAACTCCATCCTAGGCACTGGGGCCATGGCACAGACAGAACTGATAACGTCCCCTTTCTGGAACTTAACATTCAGGGCTTGGGGGAACAGACAACCCTAAAAACAAGTAAACTAATGCATGCTGTCCTGAGTGCTGGAAAGAATAAACCTCGGTGATGCAGAAGTAAGAGGGGGCCTCAGCTTGAGACTGCGGGTGTGTGTTTGCTGCGTGGTGTATGTGCGGTGCTGTCCGTGGCAGCTTAATGTGTTTGTCGATCTGTTAGACTGAACCATGCAAAGTTGCCCACGCTTGTCGGTGCTTGACTTTCAAAGAGGGCCTTTTCGCCTGGCTCTCTGAGTGTGTGTGTGTGTGTGAGTGAGCGGAAGGGATGGAGGCTTATGGGTAGCGTGCGTGGTGCCGGGAGGGGGTGCAGACTGGGCTGCCCCCGGCTGTTTATCTTCGCGGAGAGCACCTGACTGCCAGACTGGGTGTTCTGGCTGAATTTCACCGCACCCAGCAGCTGCCTTTAATTCCAGCCCAGGACATTTCACAACTCCTTGAGGAAGCCGGTCCCCTCCTCCCCGCCGCTCTCCGCAGCCCCTCTTCCACTCCGTGCAGCTTGACTCAGGGCCCCGAAACCCTCCCCTCCCCTCCCCTTGGGGTCTGACCTCGAACCCTGCCCGGGGGCCCAGAGGACGCCACGCCCCCGCCCCGCTGTGTAGTAATCTCCAGCCAATGATAGGGCCCGACTCCGGCCCCGCCCCGCCGTTACTAATTCTCCAGCCAATGGCAGGGCCGGATCCGGCCACGCCCCCCGCCCCGCCGTTAGTAATCTCCAGCCAATGGCAGGGCCGGGATCCTACTCGGGCCTCGGGGGCTGGCCCGCCCGCCGGATCCCGGCCGGAAGTCCAGTGTAGCGTCGGCTTAGCTAGGCCGGCCCAGGTTGTGCTGGGCGGAGAAGGCGCTCGGACTCTGGCGGGAGGCGGGTTGGGGCTCACGACTGAGGAGCACCGCGGCCTCGGCCACTCTCCCTGCCCTGGCGCTTTCCCTGGCGTTCTTGGCAAGCGTGCCTTGCACAGCCAGGCTGCCGGGGAAACCCCTGCCCGAGTGGGGTCATCCCGGCCCCGCCTCTGTTTCCCAGCCGCGTGGAGGTTGATGGAGATCGTGGATGTCTCTCTCTGTGTTTATTCCCCTTCCTCTCCGGAGCTGTTTCAGATCCCTTCTGAGCCTCCGTTTTCCCCTCTGCGGAGCGGGCTTTAGCTCTGTGTGGCGTCTAAGACTCTTCCAGCTGGGGACTCTGTGGACTGGCAGTGAGGAGTAGGGGTCGGGGTGGGGGATACCCGGCTCTACTTGCCCCTCACTCCAGGGCCTGGCTCAGGCCAGTGAACAGACCAGTTCTCTCTCTCTTTTTTTTTTTTTAACTATTATTTGCATTTATTTTTTGTGGCATTTATTCCCCGGGCCATAAGCTTTTGTTTCTTAAGTTTCTCCTGGGATATTTTTTTCCTTCTGTGCAGCCTCCTCTTCCGCTTTAGGAACCATCTGTTCTTTTTCAGTAAGGGCCTTCTCAGTGTGACAAGGAGAGCTCCTGTAGGGGTCGATCCGACCGGGAGCTCTGTGAGTCCTTTGCTACATCCTGGGGGCTTTGTTCACCTGGATGTGCTCAATGACCAGAGAATCTACACCTCAGCCCTGCAGTTCAGCATTACTCTCTGCATTTTTGAGCTTGTGCAGTAGAAATTCAGCACTCTTGTGGGGCCACCGACTCCGAGTCCAGCCCCGCCGTTTGGCCCGTGGACACCTACCAGCTCCACCATTGTAACGACAGAATGGCACACCTTGTTTCTTTAAAGTGACATCCTTCAGATGCTTGGGGGTTTTCAGATGTGCATTCCCTTAATGGCCTGAGCAGTTTCACCCTTAAAGTGCATTGCAGATCTGAACCTCTTGATTTGCATGATTTTGTGGGGTTTTCTGGGTCTAGGGAATAGCGCACCATTTTTAGAGGTCACCTCAGGCCACTTACCGGAAAAAGCACGACCAATTCTCTACTGGTGGGAATTCTGGGCTTGCTTTGTGTGCAGGCTTCCTCTTCTAACACAAGCCTGGCCCTGGCCCTATCCCCTCCCTCACTCCTATCCTCAGCTCCCGAGCCTTCCTGTTACCTGTCCTGGCTCAGTTAAAACCATGGACTGTGGCCTGTGGGGCTACTGAGAAGGTTAAAAGGCGCCATCCTGGTAGTCACAGCCTTGGGGTCTGGGATAGAGCTCGTATGGCCAGAACTGGAGAGACAAGTCACTAATGAGCTCCAAGTACTTTTCTTTCCCTTTCCGAGTCCCAGTGCTCAGCTATCAAAGGAGTTGCTCTAGAGTGGTGGTTCTTAAATACCTAACCATGGCTTATTAGGAGGCAAGTCATGATTAAGGGACTCCATAAGTACCTAACTTGGGGAACCCTGGGGTTAAACATAATTCCTCTTTGCAGGCACTTGTGTGTGTGTGTGTGTGTGTGTGTGTATAGGGTGGGGTGGGGGAGGGGGCTTCCCAGGTGGCTCAGTGGTAAAGAATCCGCCTGCCAATGCAGGAGACACAGGCGACCCAGGTTTGATTCTTGAGTCGGGGAGATTCCCTGGAGGAGGGCGTGGTAACCCGCTTCAGTGTTCTTGCTTGGAGAGTCCCAAGAACAGAGGAGCTTGGTGGGCTGCAGTCCATAGGATCGCAAACAGTTGGACACGACTGAGTGACTTAGCACACGTGCTGTGTGTGGGAGGGGGTTATAGCAGATTCCCTCATTGATTTTGGCTCAGAATTTTTCTGTTGTGACTCTGGGGCGCATGTTCCTGGAGCTCGCTTTGAGGACTGCCAGGGTTAGAAGCTTCCAAGCTTTTCCAGGCAGGGCAAGGGGAGCCCTGGATGGGTGTCAGGGTCTCCCTGCTTACAGGCACCCACCTCCTCTCTCAGCTGCCCAACATGTTTGGGAACCTGCGCTCCACGTTCATGGCCCTCATGATTGGCTCCTACGCCTCCTCTGCCATCACGTACCCAGGAATCAAGGTATGAGGCTGCTCGGGGAGGGGGTGGTGGTCCATGAGGTTGCTTGGTCTTCTTTCTGCCTTGACACAAGAACTGGGTGCCTGGTGGCTGGTAAGTCTAGTGACACGTCTCCTGCCAGGCGGACGTCAGCGCCCGCCTCCAACGGGACAAGCCCTGCGGCACTGTGGGAAGAGCCCGGCACTGCTGTGGATCAGCAGGTGTCTGTTCTTTCCTTTCCCGTCGTCCGAGTCCAGGCCTTCATCCCGTCTCCCAGGCCAGTGCTTTCTTGGCTGCTCTCCCTGCCTCCAAGGTTTTCCCTCTCTGAGCGGTCATCCGCATGACTTCCAGAATGATCTTAGATGGAGAACTAGCTCACCCACCTGCTCTCTTTCACCTGTGGAATCAAAAACAACCCCTTTACAAGCCTTCCAGGCCCTGGGCTCTTGGACCTCACCCCACTTTTCAGGCCACATCTCCTTTCCCTGTCCTGGAGAGGCTGGGCGATTTGGGTCCCAAGGTTGCCAAGCTAGTCCAGGTGAGGTCCACCTAGAGCCAGAGGGCCTGCATCCTCGCTCTGCGCAAGTCTGGGCCTCCTTCCCGCCTCTGATAAATCACCTTCTCAGCAGGGCCAAAGCGTGTGCTTCAGAGTCTGCCTCGGGCAGCTAATTTATTACAGTAAGTCCTCTGCAAAGGAGAGAGTTCCATTCCAAGAGAACGTGTGTAAGTCCTATTTGTTTGCAAGGCCAACAAAGTTAGCCAGCCAACTAGTACAATTGGCTGTATGTGAAATAGGATTGATATTATTTGTATAGTAATGTAACAGGTGTGTAATAGGTTTATGATACTTCTGACACAAATAACACATTAAAAAACAAGCACAGACAGAAAAGAAAGAAAGCCATTTTTAACCGTACAGTGCAGTAGCTTGAAAAGCACCACAGGACAGGGCAGTAGCTGGCACACAGGGACTGGCACCGAGTGGACAGGCAAGGTGCCACGGCTGGATGGCATCGCTGATGCGAGGACGTGAGTGTGAGTAAACCCCGGGAGCTGGTGATGGACAGGGAGGCCTGGCGTGCTGCGGTCCATGGGGTCGCAGAGTGTCGGACACGACTGAGCGCCTTCCCTTTCTGCTCAGCCTCCGTCCCAGTGGAGGTGCAGTGCGCACTGCTGGGGCGGCTGACAGGTGTTCAGGCAGGACCAGGCCTGGAGAGGGGTGTCTCCCTTCCCTCCACTAAGGCAGAGCGATGTGAGGAGCCAGACCGTTGGGGTGTGGCCCTCTGAAGCTCTGTCCTGCTCCCGGGGAAGAAAGAGCCCTGAAGCCGGAGCCCAGGAGGAGTGGTTTTCCCGGGCAGCGCCGGAGCTCGGAGCAGGGACCTGGGACCAGGACGGACAGTGGTCGTCCTGGGCAGAGGGCGCAGGCAGGACCGCTCCGCCCGCCGGCTGCCTCCCCCGCGGGGCCGACCCGTGGGCACAGGATCGGCCAGGACAGAGCCTGCTGGCCCTGAGGCTGCGCAGCGCCCTGCTCCCCCGCCACCCCGGGTCGCCACACCTGTGAGAGCTGAGCTAAGACGTGTCTGGTGGAGGGTCTGTCTTTCCCCCAGGGAGGGCAGCAGGAAGGGGCAGGAGGAACGCAGCTGGGAGCTTCCACCCTCCTCTCTTGTCCATGAAGCGAAACGACGTGTGTGTGAAAGCGATAACAGGTGTAGAGTCAAAGGCAACACCGCTGTATCTTCTTAAGATAAAAACTGAGATTCCAAAGACGTGTCGAGCTTGTGGCCAGCCTCTTCGGCACCTGCTTGGAATCACCTCACGTCTCTTGGGAGGGGTGGGGGTGAAAAAGGGAGAAGGCGGTGGGGCCTCTAGATCCGGTCTTAGCTTCTGGCCTTCGTGTCTTCATCTGCGAATTGGGCACAAGGCATGGGCTCGCAAAGACTTTCCCGGAGGCCTCTGGGGCCTGGGTCACACTCTGGCTGGAGGGCGTGGGCCTGGGGCCGGGCAGCCTCCGCCACGGGCCTCCCCGCTCCTCCCACAGCTGATCTACGACGCCGGAGTGTCCTTCATGGCCATCATGTTTGCCTGGTCGGCCCTGGCCTGCCTCATCTTTCTGAACTGTGCCGTCAACTGGCCCAGGGAAGCCTTTCCCTCCCCCGAGGAAGTCAACTACAAGTGAGCGACGTGGCGGTGGGGGGAGGGGGAGATGGGAGGGGACCCGGGGACCCCCCCCCCCAGGCCTGGAAGCTGGGGTGTGGTGATGCTATGCGCAGAAGCAGCTTGGGGGTCAGGGAAACCGGGCTCTGCTTTCTCACCTGAGCCTCGGGCCCAATCCGACCCGGATCGGGTTCTGTGTAGCTGGGGCACGACGCCGGCAGCCAGACATGGGGAGTGTCACCCTGCTGTCCAGGTTGGAGGACGGGGTCAGAGGAGCAGGGACGCTTGCCATAGCGCCGCATGCCACGGGCAGCCAGAAAAGGCACCTGCAAAGGAATGATGTCCTACCCCGTGTGGGGCAGCCTGATGACAACTCACACACACACACACACACACACACACACACCGCCCTGTCAGTTCACACACACACACCCCGCCCTGTCAGTTCACACACACACACACCCCCCGCCCTGTCAGTTCACACACACACACACACCCTGCCCTGTCAGTTCACACACACACACACCCCGCCCTGTCAGTTCACACACACACCCCCCGAGCTGTCAGTTCACACACACACACACACACCCCGCCCTGTCAGTTCACACACACACACACCCCGCCCTGTCAGTTCACACACACACACACACACCCCGCCCTGTCAGTTCACACACACACACCCCGCCCTGTCAGTTCACACACACACACACCCCGCCCTGTCAGTTCACACACACACACACACACACACACACCCGCCCTGTCAGTTCACACACACACACCCCGCCCTGTCAGTTCACACACACACACCCCCCGCCCTGTCAGTTCACACACACACACCCCGCCCTGTCAGTTCACACACACACACACACACCCCGCCCTGTCAGTTCACACACACACACCCCGCCCTGTCAGTTCACACACACACGCACACTCACACACACCCCGCCCTGTCAGTTCACACACACACACACCCCGCCCCGTCAGTTCACACACACACCCCCCGCCCTGTCAGTTCACACACACACACACACACCCCGCCCTGTCAGTTCACACACACACCCCCTGCCCTGTCAGTTCACACACACACACACACACCCCGCCCTGTCAGTTCACACACACACACACCCCGCCCTGTCAGTTCACACACACACACACCCCGCCCCGTCAGTTCACACACACCCCCCCCGCCCTGTCAGTTCACACACAAACACCCCCCGCCCTGTCAGTTCACACACACACCCCCCGCCCTGTCAGTTCACACACACACGCACACACACACACACCCCCCGCCCTGTCAGTTCACACACACACCCCCCGCCCTGTCAGTTCACACACACACGCACACACACACACACACCCCGCCCTGTCAGTTCACACACACACACCCCGCCCTGTCAGTTCACACACACACACACCCCGCCCCGTCAGTTCACACACACACCTCCGCCCTGTCAGTTCACAAACACACCCCCTGCCCTGTCAGTTCACACACACACACACACACCCCGCCCTGTCAGTTCACACACACACACACCCCGCCCTGTCAGTTCACACACACACACCCCCCCCGCCCTGTCAGTTCACACACACACACACACACACACACCCCGCCCTGTCAGTTCACACACACACACCCCGCCCTGTCAGTTCACACACACACGCACACACACACACACACACACCCCGCCCTGTCAGTTCACACACACACACACACACACCCCACCCCATCAGTTCACACACACACACAAACACACCCCGCCCTGTCAGTTCACACACACACACACACACCCCGCCCTGTCAGTTCACACACACACACACACACCCCGCCCTGTCAGTTCACACACACACACACCCCGCCCTGTCAGTTCACACACACACACCCCGCCCCGTCAGTTCACACACACACACACACATACCCCACCCTGTCAGTTCACACACACACACACACACACCCCACCCTGTCAGTTCACACACACACACACCCCCCGCCCTGTCAGTTCACACACACACACACACACACACACCCGCCCTGTCAGTTCACACACAAACACCCCGCCCCTGTCAGTTCACACACACACACACACACACACACACCCGCCCCTGTCAGTTCACACACACACACACACACCCCGCCCTGTCAGTTCACACACACACACACACACACAGACACCCCGCCCTGTCAGTTCACACACACACACACACACACACCCTGCCCTGTCAGTTCACACACACACACACACACACACCCCGCCCCGTCAGTTCACACACACACGCACACTCCGCCCCGTCAGTTCACACACACACACACACACCCCGCCCTGTCAGTTCACACACACACACACACACACACACCCCGCCCTGTCAGTTCACACACACACACACACACACACACCCTGCCCTGTCAGTTTACACACACACACACACACACCCCGCTCCGTCAGTTCACACACACACGCACACTCCGCCCCGTCAGTTCACACACACACACACACCCCGCCCTGTCAGTTCACACACACACACACACACACACCCCGCCCTGTCAGTTCACACACACGCACACACACCACGCCCCGTCAGTTCACACACACACACACACACATACCCCGCCCTGTCAGTTCACACACACACACACACACACACCCCACCCTGTCAGTTCACACAAACACACCCCCCGCCCTGTCAGTTCACACACACACACACACACACACACACCCGCCCTGTCAGTTCACACACACACACCCCGCCCCTGTCAGTTCACACACACACACACACACACACACCGCCCTGTCAGTTCACACACACACACACACCCCGCCCCGTCAGTTCACACACACACACACACACACACACACACACACCGCCCCTGTCAGTTCACACACACACACACACACACACACACACACACACCCCGCCCTGTCAGTTCACACACACACACACACACACCCTGCCCTGTCAGTTCACACACACACACACACACACACACACATACCCCGCCCTGTCAGTTCACACACACACACACACACACACCCTGCCCTGTCAGTTCACACACACACACACACACACCCCGCCCTGTCAGTTCACACACACACACACCCCGCCCCGTCAGTTCACACACACACACACACACCCCGCCCTGTCAGTTCACACACACACACACACACCCCGTCCCGTCAGTTCACACACACACACACACCCCACCCTGTCAGTTCACACACACACACACACCCCACCCTGTCAGTTCACACACACACCCTGCCCTGTTAGTTCACACACACATGCACACACACACACACCCCACCCTGTCAGTTCACACACACACACACACACACACACACCCGCCCTGTCAGTTCACACACACACACCCCGCCCCTGTCAGTTCACACACACACACACATACACACACCGCCCTGTCAGTTCAGACACACACACACACCCCGCCCCGTCAGTTCACACACACACACACACACACACACACACCGCCCCTGTCAGTTCACACACACACACACACACACACACACACCCCGCCCCATCAGTTCACACACACACACAAACACACACACACCCTGCCCCTTTCAGTTCACACACACACACACACATACCCCGCCCCGTCAGTTCACACACACACACACACCCCGCCCCATCAGTTCACACACACACACACACCCCGCCCCGTCAGTTCTCACACAGACACACACACCCCGCCCTGTCAGTTCACACACACACAGACATACACACACACACCCCGCCCTGTCAGTTCATACACACACACACACACAGACCCCGCCCCGTCAGTTCACACACAGACACACACACACACCCCGCCCCTGTCAGTTCACACACACACACACACATACCCCGCCCTGTCAGTTCACACACACACACACACACCCCGCCCCGTCAGTTCACACACACACACACACCCCGCCCCTGTCAGTTCACACACACACACACACACACACACACACACACCCCGCCCCGTCAGTTCACACACACACACCCCGCCCCTGTCAGTTCACACACACACACACACACACACACCACCCTGTCAGTTCACACACACACACACACACCCCGCCCCGTCAGTTCACACACACACACACACACCCCGCCCCGTCAGTTCACACACACACACACACCCCGCCCCTGTTAGTTCAGACACACACACACACACACACACACCCCGCCCTGTCAGTTCACACACACACACACACCCCCCGCCCTGTCAGTTCACACACACACCCCCTGCCCTGTCAGTTCACACACACACACACACACCCCGCCCTGTCAGTTCACACACACACACACACACCCCGCCCTGTCAGTTCACACACACACGCACACCCCGCCCCTGTCAGTTCACACACACACACACATACACACACCCCGCCCCATCAGTTCACACACACACACAAACACACACACACCCCACCCCTGTCAGTTCACACACACACACACACACACACCCCGCCCTGTCAGTTCACACACACACACACACACACCCCGCCCCGTCAGTTCACACACACACACACACACACACACCCCGCCCCTGTCAGTTCACACACACACACACATACACACACACACCCCGCCCCATCAGTTCACACACACACACAAACACACACACACCCTGCCCCTTTCAGTTCACACACACACACACACATACCCCGCCCCGTCAGTTCACACACACACACACACCCCGCCCCATCAGTTCACACACACACACACACCCCGCCCCGTCAGTTCTCACACAGACACACACACCCCGCCCTGTCAGTTCACACACACACAGACATACACACACACACCCCGCCCCATCAGTTCACACACACACACAAACACACACACACCCCGCCCTGTCAGTTCATACACACACACACACACAGACCCCGCCCCGTCAGTTCACACACAGACACACACACACACCCCGCCCCTGTCAGTTCACACACACACACACACATACCCCGCCCTGTCAGTTCACACACACACACACACACCCCGCCCCGTCAGTTCACACACACACACACACCCCGCCCCTGTCAGTTCACACACACACACACACACACACACACACCCCGCCCCGTCAGTTCACACACACACACCCCGCCCCTGTCAGTTCACACACACACACACACACACACACCACCCTGTCAGTTCACACACACACACACACACCCCGCCCCGTCAGTTCACACACACACACACACACCCCGCCCCGTCAGTTCACACACACACACACACCCCGCCCCTGTTAGTTCAGACACACACACACACACACACACACCCCGCCCTGTCAGTTCACACACACACACACACCCCCCGCCCTGTCAGTTCACACACACACACACACACCCCGCCCCTGTCAGTTCACACACACACACACACACCCCGCCCTGTCAGTTCACACACACACACACACACCCCGCCCTGTCAGTTCACACACACACACACACACCCCGCCCTGTCAGTTCACACACACACACACACACCCCGCCCTGTCAGTTCACACACACACACACGCACACCCCGCCCCTGTCAGTTCACACACACACACACATGCACACCCCGCCCTGTCAGTTCACACACACACACCCCGCCCTGTCAGTTCACACACACACGCACACACACACACACACACACCCCGCCCTGTCAGTTCACACACACACACACACACACCCCACCCCATCAGTTCACACACACACACAAACACACCCCGCCCTGTCAGTTCACACACACACACACACACCCCGCCCTGTCAGTTCACACACACACACACACACCCCGCCCTGTCAGTTCACACACACACACACCCCGCCCTGTCAGTTCACACACACACACACGCACACCCCGCCCCTGTCAGTTCACACACACACACACATGCACACCCCGCCCCTGTCAGTTCACACACACACACACACACCCCGCCCTGTCAGTTCACACACACACACACCCCGCCCTGTCAGTTCACACACACACACACACACCCCGCCCCGTCAGTTCACACACACACACCCCCCCGCCCTGTCAGTTCACACACAAACACACACCCCGCCCCGTCAGTTCACACACACGCACACCCCGCCTCTGTCAGTTCACACACACACACACAGACACCCTGCCCCGTCAGTTCACAAACACACACACACACACCCCGCCCCTGTCAGTTCACACACACACACACATACACACACACACCCCGCCCCATCAGTTCACACACACACACACACTCCGCCCCTGTCAGTTCACACACACACACACACACACACACACACACACCCTGCCCCGTCAGTTCACACACACACACACACACCCCGCCCTGTCAGTTCACACACACACACACACACCTCCTGGCCCGTCAGTTCACACACACACACACACACACACCCCGCCCTGTCAGTTCACACACACGCACACCCCGCCCCTGTCTGTTCACACACACACACACACCCCGCCCTGTCAGTTCACACACACACACACACACACACACCCCGCCCTGTCAGTTCACACACACACACACACACACCCCGCCCCGTCAGTTCACACACACACACACCCCGCCCCTGTCTGTTCACACACACACACACACACACACCCTGCCCCGTCAGTTCACACACACACACACACACCCTGCCCTGTCAGTTCACACACACACACACACAGACCCTGCCCCGTCAGTTCACACACACACACACACACACCCCGCCCTGTCAGTTCACACACACACACACATACACACACACACCCCGCCCCATCAGTTCACACACACACACAAACACACACACACCCCGCCCCTGTCAGTTCACACGCACACACACGCACACCCCTGTCAGTTCACACACACGCACACCCCTCCCCTGTCAGTTCACACACACACACACACGCACACCCCGCCCCTGTCAGTTCACAGACACGCACACACACACACACCCCGCCCCGTCAGTTCACACACACACGCACACCCCGCCCCGTCAGTTCACACAGACACACACCCCGCCCCATCAGTTCACACACACACACACACACCCGCCCCGTCAGTTCATACACACACACACACACCCTGCCCTGTCAGTTCACACACACACACACACACCCTGCCCTGTCAGTTCACACACAGACACACACAGACCCTGCCCCGTCAGTTCACACACACACACACACACACCCCGCCCTGTCAGTTCACACACACACACACATACACACACACACCCCGCCCCTGTCAGTTCACACGCACACACACGCACACCCCCGTCAGTTCACACACTCGCACACCCCGCCCCTGTCAGTTCACACACACACACACACACACACCCCGCCCTGTCAGTTCACACACACACACACATACACACACACACCCCGCCCCTGTCAGTTCACACGCACACACACGCACACCCCCGTCAGTTCACACACTCGCACACCCCGCCCCTGTCAGTTCACACACACACACACACGCACACCCCGCCCCTGTCAGTTCACACACACACACACACGCACACCGCGCCCCTGTCAGTTCACAGACACGCACACACACACACACCCCGCCCCGTCAGTTCACACACACACGCACACCCCGCCCCGTCAGTTCACACAGACACACACCCCGCCCCATCAGTTCACACACACACACACACACCCGCCCCGTCAGTTCATACACACACACACACACACACACACCCCGCCCCATCAGTTCACACACACACACACACACCCCGCCCTGTCAGTTCACACACACACACACATACACACACACACCCCGCCCCATCAGTTCACACACACACACAAACACACACACACCCCGCCCCTGTCAGTTCACACGCACACACACACACACCCCGCCCCGTCAGTTCACACACACACACACACCCTGCCCCTGTCAGTTCACACACACACGCACACCCCGCCCCGTCAGTTCACACACACACGCACACCCCGCCCCGTCAGTTCACACACACGCATACCCCGCCCCTGTCAGTTCACACACACACACACACACACACCCCGCCCTGTCAGTTCACACACACACACACACACACACACACACACACCCCTCCCCTGCCAGTTCACACACAGACACACACACCCCGCCCCTGTCAGTTCATACACACACACACACACACACCGCCCCTGTCAGTTCACACACACACACACACACACACACACCCCGCCCCGTCAGTTCATACACACACTCCAACACACCCCGCCCTGTCAGTTCACACACACGCACACCCCGCCCCTGTCAGTTCACACACACACACACGCACACCCCGCCCCTGTCAGTTCACACACACACACACATGCACACCCCGCCCCTGTCAGTTCACACACATGCACACACACACACACCCCGGCCCGTCAGTTCACACACACACGCACACCCCGCCCCGTCAGTTCACACACACGCACACCCCGCCCCTGTCAGTTCACACAGACACACACCCTGCCCCATCAGTTCACACACACACACACACACACCCGCCCCGTCAGTTCATACACACACTCCAACACACCCCGCCCTGTCAGTTCACACACACACACACACACACACACACACACACACACACAACACCCCACCCCGCCAGTTCCCTAGGGCACTGGGGTGATGCTCCACACCCAAGCCCCTCGGCTCCAGTCAAGTAGCTGGTCCTGGGCGGGTGGCCTCTGTGTGCCAGGCCCTGTGCCCAGTGGTCCTTCTGACTCAGGACGTGGGCTCTGTTATTAACTCCATTCCTAGCAGGCGCAGGGGCACACAGGGACCTTCCTGGAGTCGCACCATTGGAGCGGGGTGGGGATGGGGGCAGGACTCCAGAGCCTGGGGCTCCCCTGGACTCCATGCTTTCATTGCCAAGGGCCTGAGTTCAACCCTTGGTCAGAGAACCAATATCCCACAAGCTGCACGGTACAGCCAAAAGGAAGAAAGAGCTTCAGAGCCAGAGTTCTTTTTTTAAAATGCGTTTATTGAAGTATAGTTGATTTACAATGTGTTGGTTTCAGGTGTACGGCAGAGTAATTCAGATGTACATATATTCTTTTCCTGATTCTCTTCCCTGCTAGGTGGTTATAAAATATTGGGTCTATTTTCCTGTACTATGCAGTGGGTCTCTGCTGGCTCTCTGTTTTATGTTGACGTGGAGCAGTGTGTATATGTGGATCCCAGACTCCTAATCTATCCTTCTCTCTGTCCCTGCCGTCGCCAGAGTCTGGGTCCTTAGCGCAGCCTCCAGGGCAACAGCCTAAGTGGAAAGCGGCTTCATCCACCCTCCACTTAGTGGGCGCTGAGCGGGCCCTGGGCTCCGAGCCGCGCAGACACAAGCCCCGCGCTGGGGAGCACGTCAGTGTTGGGAAGAGGGGACCTGGCACCCCCAGGACAGCAGCCATCAGAGGCAGGCTGCGGAGGGTGGGCTCCGTGGGGCTGCTTCCCACGAGCTGCTGCCCGGCTCCCGGCAGAGAGAAGACCAAACTCAAAGAGCTGGCCCTGGACCACAGGGTGACGGGGGGCCGCTTCTACTCCTACGTGAGCACGGTGGGCCAGCGGCTGAGCCAGAAGGCCCCCAGCCTGGAGGAGGGGGTCCTCTTCATCTCATCCCAGGACATGCCTGGCGGCGCAGAGAGCTCTGTGGAGAGTGAGTGTCCGTCCCGGGGCCGGCCTCGGGGGGTGGAGAGGACGGGCCTCACCGGGTGTGAGCACCCTTGCCTGGGTGGTCATGCTCCCTCCTGAGTTCTCACGCCACCCCCCTGCCGGACAGGTGGGCCCGCCTCCCATTTCTAGAACTCCAGGATGCTCGGGTTCACGGGTCCTTGGCCGGATTCCTGGAACCCGGCGGCCGCTTCCGGAACGGGGCAGGTCCCTTCCAGGCCTGTGGGAGAGCGGGTTTCTTTCCGTGGGGCTCCCTGCAACCGCCAAGCCTCTTGCGTCAGACGCCGCCTGGGGAGCCGGCCTCCAGGCTGCCTCCACGCGCGCCGGGTTGGTTGGTGCCCCTGCCGGCCGCGGCGGGGAGCTGCGCCTGCCTCCCGCCCGGCCGCTTGGCAGGGCGTCAGCCATGAGGTCGTGGGAGGATGGGTGGGAGTCCCGAGAAGGGGGTTTGAGTCCAGCTCCCCGGTTCCAGGCCACGTGACTTGAGTGGGTCGCTTAACCCCACTCTCACCTTCCCCGTCCGTTAAACTAGCACTGAGAACACCCTGATGCTGGGAGGGATTGAGGGCGGGAGGAGAAGGGGACGACAGAAGACGAGACGTTGGATGGCATCACCGGCTCGATGGACATGGGTTTGAGTAAACTCCGGGAGCTGGTGATGGACAGGGAGGCCTGTGTGCTGCAGTCCATGGGACCGCAGAGAGTCAGACACGACTGAGCGACTGAACACAGCACATTTTCGTAACATGGGATGATGCATGTCAGGTGTGCAACACACAGTAAGTGCTTGGTAAATAGCAGCTGGAGTGACGACCATGCCAAGCCTGGGGCACACACCCGGAGGTCACCTGAGGATGTTCCGGTGAGGGAATCCCCTGGTGGCCCAGTGGTTAGGACTCCGTGCTCTCCCTGTGGAGGTTTTGGGTTTGATCCGTGGTCAGGGAGCTGGGGTCCCACAAGCCACGCAGCGAGGCCGAAGAAATAAGAGAGTCTCCTAGTGAGACAGTTACAGAGTCGGGCGACTCGGAGGCTGCAGAGGCTAAAGCTGCCCCTCTCCTAGGCCACAGCGGCAGCACGCCCACTGGGGCACCCGCTGGGACTTGCGGCATGCTGGAGCCCTGGGGCTCAGGGGCGCCCCCCGCTGTCCCCCCAGAGTCTGTGCCCCTGCGCAGGAGCCTCTGCTCCCCCATTTTCCTGTGGAGCCTCCTCACCATGGGCATGACCCAGCTGCGGGTCATCTTCTACATGGCCGCCATGAACAAGATGCTGGAGTACCTGGTGACCGGCGGCCAGGAGCATGGTGAGGTGCTGCTGAGCCCCTGGGGGGCTGCGGGTGCGGGGGGCGCACTGGCCGAGCTCCCCTCACCCTGGCTTCCCCTCCCACCCCCAACAGTGACGGACAACCTGAAGCAAAGGGCCACAGAGACAGGTAGGAGGACAGAAGCTTGGGCCTGGGCCCCCACCCGCCCTGTTGCTGGGTGACCCATCCTTGGGTCATGCGGCCTGGCTGTGTGGGGGATCTGAGAATCTGGGGGTCTGACAGGGTGATCTTGGCGTTCCTCCTGCCTCTGCTAGAGGTGGGTGACAGTACCCAGTGGGCTGCCTGGCTGTGTGGGGGATCTGAGAATCTGGGGGTCAGAGGGGGGAGATCTTGGTATTCCCCTGGCTCTGTTGGAGGCGGGTGACAGTACCCAGTGGGCTGCCTGGCTGTGTGGGGGATCTGAGAATCTGGGGGTCAGAGGGGGAGATCTTGGCGTTGCCCCCTCTGCTGAGGCTGGGCTGCCGGCTCCCGCCTGCCAGCCCCTGAGCCCGCTCCCCTCCCGCCCCCAGTGGAGTTCTACTCCTCTGTCTTTGGGGCCGTGCAGCTGCTCTGCCTTCTCACTTGCCCTCTCATCGGCTACATCATGGACTGGCGGATCAAGGACTGCGTGGACGCCCCCACTCCCAGGTAACCTGCCCCGGCGTGGGGATAGCCCTGTGCTTTCACATCCAGTGTCTTATTTCAATCTCCCCAGGGCCCTGAGGGGGGGGTCCCAAGCGCATTTTACAGATGAGGAAACAGACCCAGAGGGCATGTGGCTGCCTTGATAATGAGCTTAGCTGGCAGTAAACGCCGCCTGTATACCGCGCACCTGCATTGCCCTATTTGATCTTACACTGGCTCCCTGAGCTAGGTACACACATTATTATGCTCGCTTCCCAGAGGAGCCAAGACGCAGAAAGGTTCAGGAACTTACTCAAGATCACACAGCTTTCAGTAGGAGGTTCCAGAACCTTTGTTATGATGAGCACACTCTAGAGTTAGGTTAGGAAGAGATAGATCCGGTGTATTAGATATCTACTGCTGTGTGACAAAGTACCCTCAAACTTTGCATCTTTAAACAACATTTATTATCTCATCGTTTCTGAGAGTCAATAATCTGGGACTGGCTTAGCAGGGTGGTTTTGGCTCAGAGTCTTTCTGAGTCTGTTCAGACTGGTATAACAAAATAGCAGACAAGATAGCTTAGGATTGGTGGAAATTTATTTCTTATAGTTCTGGAGGCTGGAAGTCTGAGATCGGGGTGCCAGCACGGGTGGGTGAGGGCCTTCTTCAAGGTGGCATGTTTCTCATTGTCATCCCATAGAACTTGTGGCTCAGACAGTAAAGAGTCCAGCTGCAAAGCGGAGACCTGGGTTCGATCCCTGGTGGGGAGGATCCCCTGGAGGAGGGCATGGCAGCCCACTCCAGTATTCTTGCCTGGAGAATCCCATGGACAGCGCAGCCGGGCGGACTACAGTCCAAGGGGTCGCAGAGAGTCAGACGGGGCTGAGCAGGCACGCACACACACCAGATGGTGCTGGAGGAGCCATGCTTTGAGAAGCACGTGGCTGGAAGGGAGACCTCTCCCTTTCCTGGTGCCCTGAAATGGGAGGGAGGGCCGCTGAGGAGGTCGGGGCGGCGGCCAGTGATGGCCTGTCCTCTGCAGGGACGGGGCGGCCACCAAGTCCATCCGACCACGCTACCGCGAGATCCAGAAGCTCACCAACGCCATCAACGCCTTCACCCTGACCAATCTGCTGCTCATGGGTTTCGGCATCACCTGCCTCATCAGCAACCTACACCTCCAGGTACAACTTCCAGGCGCACCCTGCCTCTCGGTGCTCCCGACGGCTGAAGGCACGGTTCCCCCGGCGCCTGCCTCTGGCGGCCGGGTTCCCACCCTCTGGGTCTGTTTGCCGGGTTCTCCAGGAGGTGTTTCCGGGAGGTTGGCTGGGCGAGGAGACCGGCCGTTGGCTCTGTCCCCTTCCTCGCCCTCCCGCCCCTGCCCCCCTTCACCTCTGCCCTCTCTCCTTTGCAGTTTCTGACCTTCGTCTTGCACACCACGGTGCGCGGCTTCTACCACTCGGCCTGTGGGGGCCTCTACGCCGCGGTGTGAGTCCGCAGGGGGTGGTCTTCCCGAGGGCTCCCCTTAGCGCACCCTTCCCCAGCCTCCCTCCCTGGAACGTGGGTGTCTGTGGCGCTCATGGTAAAGACCCTGCCTGCCAGTGCTGGAGATGTCAGAGATGCAGGTTCGATCCCTGGGTGGGGAAGATCCTCCAGAGGCGGGCATGGCAGCCCCTTCAGTATTCTTGGGCTTCCCTGGTTTCTCAGATGGTAAAGAAACCAGCTGCAATGTGGGAGATCTGGGTTTGATCCCTGGGTGGGGAAGATCCCCTGGAGGAGGTCATGGCAACCCCCTCCAGTATTCTTGGGTTTCCCTGGTTTCTCAGATGGTAAAGAATCCACCGGAAATGTGGGACACAGGGGTTCGATCCCTGGGTTGAGAAGATGCCCTGGAGGAGGACATGGCAACCCACTCCAATATTCTTGCCTAGAGAATCCCATGGACATAGGCGCCTGGTGGGCTACAATCCACAGGGTCACAGAGTCAGACACTACTGAGCGACGTAACAGCAGCAGCAGCAGCTGCAGGCGGGTGAGGATCTGGAGGTGGTCCAGCTCACTGCTCTCTCCCAGATCCCTAGTGACGGGGCGCTCCCTGCACCCTCTTGGGACGACTCTGCCGTCAGAGCATCCTCCCTTAGGGGCAGCTGACATCTCTGGTTTGGCCCTGCGTCTCCCTCCACAACGCCCGCTCCCCTTCCCGGAGTGGCCCCTCTGCCCGTGTCAGCCCTGCTGGAATCTCCAGACCGCAGTCTCTGCCTCATAACGTCCCTGCTTCATGTGGGACAGCCCCCCTCCCTGGCACCCCGTTCCCTTTCCCCTGCGGCTTCTGATTTTCACACCGAGTGTCTCTGCTTTACGTGTGATGGCGAAAGAAGGGTGGCAACACTGTAACGGCTGTGGGCGCTTACTCCACCTTGGGCGCAGGAGAGATGCTGTTCAGTTCAGCCCGGTCGCTCAGTCGTGTCCGACTCTTTGCGACCCCGTGAATCGCAGCACGCCAGGCTTCCCTGTTCATCACAAACTCCCGGAGTTTACTCAAACTCATGCCCATCGAGTTGGTGATGCCATCCTCTGTCATCCCCTTCTCCTCCTGCCCCCAGTCCCTCCCAGCATCAGGGTCTTTTCAATGAGCCAACTCTTCCCATGAGGTGGCCAAAGTATTGGAGTTTCAGCTTCAGCATCAGTCCTTCCAATGAACATCCAGGACTGATCTCCTTTAAGATGGACAGGATGGATCTCCTTGCAGTCCAAGGGACTCTCAAGAGTCTTCTCCAACACCACAGTTCAAAAGCATCTATTCTTTGGCTCTCAGCTTTCTTCACAGTCCAGCTCTCACATCCATACATGACCACTGGAAAAACCATAGCTTGACCAGACAGACCTTTCTTGGCAAAGTAATGTCTCTGCTTTTTAATATGCTATCTAGGTTGATCATAACTTTCCTTCCAAGGAGTAAGCATCTTTTAATTTCATGGCCGCAGTCACCATCTGCAGTGATTTTGGAGCCCAGAAAAATAAAGTCGGCCACTGTTTCCCCATCTATTTCCCATGAAGTGATGGGACCAGATGCTATGATCTTAGTTTTCTGAACGCTGAGCTTTAAGCCAACTTTTTCACTCTCCTCTTTCACTTTCATCAAGAGGCTTTTTCGTTCCTCTTCACTTTCTGCCATAAGGGTGGTTCATCTGCATATCTGAGGTTATTGATATTTCTCCCGGCAATCTTTGATTTCAGCTTGTGCTTCTTCCAGCCCAGCGTTTCTCATGATGTACTCTGCATAGAAGTTAAATAAGCAGAATGACAATATACAGCCTTGATATACTCCTTTTCCTATTTGGAGCCAGTATGTTGTTCCATGTCCAGTTCTAACTATTGCTTCTTGACCTGCATACAGCTTTCTCAAGAGGCAGGTCAGGTGGTCTGGTATTCCCAGCTCTTTCAGAGTTTCCCACAGTTTATTGTGATCCACACGGTGAGACATTGACCCCCTCCCTCATCCAGACCTCGGGGGGAGGCTGCACCAGGGCCGAGGATCACCCTGGATTCCACATGCTCATTGCCCACAGCCTGGGTCACGCTCCATACTCCGCAGATGCCAGGCGCATCCCTACTCAGCATCTCTGGCGATGCCACGCCCATCCTGAATGGCTGCTGCCTCCCAGCAGTCTCCCCGAGTCCGCCCTTGCCTCCTCTGGGATTTCTAACGCAGGAGCTGGAGACACCCGTTAGGACATACATCTCTTCCTGTCTCTCCACGGCTGCCTCTCTCGTCTCACATAGAGAAAAAGCCAAAGGCTCTGTTATGGCTCCAAATGTCCTGCTGGGGGACGTCCCTGGTGGTCCAGTGGTTAAGAATCTGCCTTGCGGTGCAGGGGATGCACGTTTGATCCCAGGGCAAGGAAGTAAGGGCCCATAAGCTGTGGAGCAGCTCAGCCCCCTGTCACGGACTGGAGAGTCCATGTGCCGCAGTGAAGCACACAGTAGAGATCCCTCGTGCTGTGACGGAGACCCGCTGTAGCCAAACATAAATACGTTAACACAAAGAGGCCCTGCAGGGTCTGGCCCCCGGGGGCCTCTCCCTTCCCTTCCCACCGCGCTCACCCCCGTCTCCCGCTGCAGCTGCCGCATGCTGCAGAAACCTCATGTGCTCCCCCGCCAGCGCCCCTCTTCCTGGCTCATTCTCCCCCCAGACGTCCATGAGCCAGCTAGCACACGCTGCTTGGGGCTTTACCCAGAGGGACTCTTCTGAGCCCTCCCACCTCCCTAGAAAGGCCCGTGCTCTGCTTGGCTTCGTTCCTCAGTGCTATCACCTTCTAACACGCTGTGCTTTCTTGGTTTTTGTCCACACCCAGTGGCACGCGCGATCTTAATTCCCTGACCAGGGGTCGAGCCTGTGTTCCCCTGAAGTGGAAGCTCGGAGCCCTAGCCGCGGGACCACCAGGGAAGTCGCAACAATGTGTTTATTTTGCTTGTGGTGTGATTACTACCCAGCCCCCCAGAATGCCGCCTCCAGCTTGGTTCTTTGCTCTCTCTCCATGCACCTAAAACAGTGCCTGGCGCATGGTAGGAGCTCAATAAATAATGTGTCAAAAGAAAATCAGCCTGTGAGGTGAGCACTCTCCCTGTTTTTAGGGAAGGAAGTGAAGTTCAGAGAGACTGAATGACTTGCTGCTATCACACAGCTGATGGTGCTGGTGGTTTAGTTGCTAAGTCAATGTCTCATTCTTGTGACCACATGGACTATAGCCCGCCAGCCTACTCTGTACATGGGATTTCCCAGGCAAGAATATTGGAGTGGGTTGCCATTTCCTTCTCCAGGGGATCTTCCCAATGCAGGGATCGAACCCAGGTCTCCTGCACTGCAGGCAGAGTCTTTACCAGCTGAGCTATAGGGAAGCGCATCACACAGCTCGTAGGTGCCAGAAACCCGCCCTGCGGGCTTTAAGTCAGAGCGCGTACCCAAGGCCGGGCACATGCGCAGAGCCCGAGGCTTTTAAATGTTTGCGCCATGACGCTTGGGACATTTGCTCCCCAGCCAGGGATGGATCCCTCGCCTCCAGCACTGGGAGTGCAGTCTTCAGCACTGGGCGGCAGGCCCGCCCTGAGCCTGAGTCCTTAACCTCGGTCTCACCCGGTGGACAAAGCCTGCCGTCTGGGGGTGGGGGGGGCGCCGGGCTGGAGAGGCGCGCGCCTCACGCGGGGCCCCAGGCCGGGCTGGAGGCGCCTCACGCGGGGCCCCAGGCCAGGCTGGAGCGGAGTGTGCCTCACGCGGGGCCCTGCCCCTCCGCAGGTACCCCTCCAAGCACTTCGGGACGCTGACGGGCCTGCAGTCGCTCCTCAGCGCCGTGTTTGCTCTGCTGCAGCAGCCGCTCTTCATGGCCATGGTGGGGCCCCTGAAAGGAGAGCCATTCTGGGTGAGCCGCAGCGGGGCGTGGGGGCCGCGGGACCCCCCTGCCTGGGTGCAGCTGAGGAGCTGGGGGCGGGGGGCTCTCGCCTGCGGTGGAATCATTCATTATCATCTCAGCAGGAGGCATCTGGGAGGAGTTTCCTCTGGGGGTTCCCATCTGGCGGTCGGGCAGACCTCCTTATAGACGCCCCAGCCTGGGCCCAGGATGCTGTAATCTCCCCGGTGACCTGAGGATTGGCCCAGTCTTCATCCAAGGCAGGGACCTTCTCTCCTAGAAAGGGGCTCCTCCAAACCCTCCGAGCTCAAACACCCCCCGTGCTGGGGTACCAGCCCTTGATCTTGTTGGAAAGGCTTTTCCTCGCATTGAACCGACCTCACCTCCCTAAAGCTGACATCTGCCCCAGGGGTCCACGCACTCCCCTAAACCCTCTCACCAGAGCACAACAGCCGCTGTGTCCCGAGTGCTCACCAGGCGCCGGTTAGTACATCAGGGCAGGGCAGGCGCTCAGTCATGTCCAGCTCTCGGCGACCCCACGGACTGCAGCATGCCAGGGCTCCATGTTGATCACCAACTCCAGGAGCTTACTCAAAGTCATGTCCATCGAGTCGGTGATGCCATCCAGCCATCTCAACCTCTGTCGTCCCCTTCTCCTCCCACCTTACCTCTTTCCCAGCATCAGGGTCTTTCCCGGTGAGTCAGTTCTTCACATCAGGTGGTCAGAGCACTGGAGCTTCAGCATCAGTCCTTAGTGTATTTATACTGAACGCGGCCACCACAGCCCAGAGGAGAAGTGGAGACCCGAGGTGACTGGCCTGTGAGCCACCCCGTGAGGAACCGGGCAGGCTGTGCGCAGGGTCTGAGCAGGGCCTTCTGGGCCTGCGGCCCCCGCTGCACACGGCACCCGTGATCGCCCACCAGCATCTCCCCACAGGACCCCACCGCCCACGTCCTCAGAGGCCCAGGCTCCCAGCCGACACCGGGTCATTCGGGCCCTGGCATCAGGTGGGGTTCAGACCCGGCTCTGGAGCTTTACGGGAGTCCTGTGAGATGCTGGCAGAGAGCGGTTGCCCACAGCCAGGGCTCGCTCTGTGTATCTTCCAGCCCAGAACCAGTCCCTCCTAAAGGAGATCAACCCTGGGTGTTCATTGGAAGGACTGGTGCTGAAGCTGAAGCTCCAATCCTTTGGCCACCTAATGTGAAGAACTGACTCATTGGAAAAGACCCTGATGCTGGGAAAAATTGAAGGCAGGAGAAGGGGATGACAGAGGATGAGATGGTTGGATGGCATCACCAACTCAATGGACATGGGTTTGGGTAAACTCCAGGAGCTGGTGATGGACAGGGAGGCCTGGCGTGCTGCGGTCCATGGGGTCGCAGAGAGTCGGACACGACTGAATGACTGAACTGAACTGCAATGAACAAGACCCGGGGTGCAGACGGCGGCCTTCTCCTCCCTGAGGGAGCGGCCGCCAAGGGTGGTGAGCGTGGACAGCTGGACTCTTTTTTTTTCTTTCTCTCTCTTTGCTCTGTAGGTGAATCTGGGCCTCCTGCTCTTCTCACTCCTGGGGTTCCTGCTACCATCCTACCTCTTCTACTGCCGTGCCCGGCTCCAGAGGGCAGACGTTGCCCGCTGTGGGGGGCCCTGAAGGTGCCCAGTGGCCCCAAGGCGGCAGCCTAGCCCCCCGCGTCCCGGAGCCTGGACCACAGGCAGCCGTGGCCGGGCCAGAGGGACTGTGACTCTCCCTGTGACCTCCACACAGCACCACGGACCGCGGATTTATAAATACCGGGAGAAGTTCTATTTTTGTGGGGACAGTTGAAAAGGAAAAAGAAAGAAATCCTTGAAGCCACGCTCCATTGACCAAAGACACCCCCGTGCCAGGACCTAACCTTCCCAAGCCTGGGGTTGGAGGGCCTGGGGTGCGGCTCTGGGCTTCCTCTGGGCCTCGCCGAGGGGCCTGCCTGCTGCTGCCCCCTGGGGGCCTGTGGGGTCAGCGAACAGGTGACCCCTCAGCTACGCAGGGCCCAGGGTATGTGCGATCGTGTGTGGAACTCCCTCCTCCTCCGGGGAAAGGGGCCAGAGGTGTGCCGGCCGCGTCCTGAGGCTGCTGCGTGGGAGGGAAGCCTCTCCTGGGGACTGAAGGGCGGGTTCTCTCCCTGGCGCTGCTGCTTGCAGATCTCAGAGGAAATAAAAAGGGAAGTGAGAGACTGGCTGCGGTGTGCCTGCCTGTGTCTGTGGGGGGTGGGAGGGGTGGTGTCTTCCCACACCTCCACCCCCCTTCCTCACCCAGGCTCAGCTGGGCAGTAACTAGGACACTTAAGGTGCCAGCCCGTCCACCCCGAGCTGCCTGCTTCAGCTCCTGTTCTCAGCCATGCCCTGGAACAGGTGGAGGTCCTGCCCTCTGCTCCCGCCCCCGCCTTCTCAGGGTTTGGGGTACATCTGGGAGGGAGGTTGGCCTTTCTGCCTACCCATGATCAAGGCAGGAGACTTTGGGAACAATGCTAAGGCGCGCCTCTCAGTCTTTCTTGTCGGGCGTCTCTGGCGGTCTGTTGAAAGTAACGTTTTTTTGGGGGGGGAGGTGTCATGTTTAACTTAAAACTTCATGCAAATTTCGAGCTTCATCTTGTGCTATATTTATATTTACTTTCAGGAATAAAGGGAGACTTTAAAAGTTACCTGCATCAAGGGAAGACACCGTCTTTGAGGGCAAGGGACCTTCCAGGAAGCTATACCTCATTTATCCCACTCCTGCCTCTCTTCTGTCCTGGGACATAAACCTGAAACTCACAGAAGGGAGGGGCGCGGCAGGGAGGGGCCCAGCCACACAAGTACCGCACTGCGTCCTCACCGTAGAGGTCGGTGTCTCCAGGTCGCTTTGTAGAGAGAAGAAGGCTCAGACAGGTTAAGGCACAAGGACACAGAGCTGGTAGGCGATGGGGCTGGGCATTGTGGCCGCTGAGTGCGAAGCTCAGGTCTGTCAAGCCAATCAGCGGCAGAACGGAAGATCTCATTGTCAGCCTAGCTCTCTGCTGCCCTCTCAGGGCGGAGAGGAACCACAAAGGCCTTATGCACCACCCTACTCCCAAAAAACCTAGGAGAACCCCAAAATAATGGCCCTGCAGGACAGTATTACAGAGAAGCCCTCCCTTTGTCTGCAATTCTCTTTAGAAGCTGATTCAGTAGGCTCACCCCCCCGTTTGACGGATGTCCAGCGAGGTCTGGAGACGTGGCTAAGCCACACGGCGCATCCCTGGCTGCTCGCAGCCCAGGCTCCTGGCTTCCCACGGTGTCCTTTTCGCAAAGTAGGAAACCAGATTTGGACCGCATCCGCCAACGGGTTGGACGGGCTCCCAGCGGCCTTGCCCGGGTCTCGCTCCTCTCTGTGCCCGGGGACCTTGACTTTCCGTCCGGTCCGCTGGAAGCGGATCACAGAAGATGAAGAGGAGAGGGACGGCCCGGCTGCGCTCTCTGCAGGCGGCGCTGCGTGGCCGCGGCTGGGACGGGGTGGGAGACTGGGAACGGAGGGACCCCACGCCCTCCCTCGACAGCCCCTGCCGGCTCTCCTGGGTCGCATCTCCAGACCCCTCCCCTGAGATATCCCCGTGCCCCCCCGACCACGGAGCCACCGACCCTCGAGGCTGAAGGAGGGGGTCTCCACCGCGCCCCCGCCCCTGCCCAGAGGGCGTGGGACCGAGTGGGGGACGCAGGCGGGGATCTCGGCCTCCTTGGGGCGGCGTGTCTTCTCGCCCCGCGTCCCCAGGGCGGGGGCGCTTGGGGAGGGGGCTGGCGGGGGCGGCCGCGAGCTGGAGCCTGTTTGTCGCGGCGCCGCCGAGTGGAACAGATGGCTGGGAGGGGGGGGGGAGAGGGTAGTGGCGGGGAGGAGGAGGCTGCGGGGGCCGGGGGCTGAGGAACGCGGGATTTCGACGCCCCGAGTCTCCCGGGAGAAGCGCCCCTCCCCACCTCTTCCCAGAGAGAGGAGGCGGGCAAGCGCCTGCCCTTTCTCCCCCCAACCCCGAAACCGCCCCCCCCCGCAGACCCCGCCGTCCCCCCGGGGGCGCGCCCCTCACCCCCAGGACCCCCAGAGCGGGCGGCGTCCAGGCCGCCGGGACGCAAGGGTTAATGGGGGTCCCCACCCCCTCTCCGAGGGGCCAGGGGGAGGCGGGAGCGGGGCGAGACTTCTGGGGGAAAACGTGCTAATTGGAACCTCACGCAGATGAGCTGGGGTGGAGGCTGGGCAGGGTACAGAGCCGGGGCCGGGGGCCGAGGGACTCAAGGGGCGGGCTGGGGGCTCCGGCCAGGACAGCGACGGGGACCGCCGCGGAGGCCGGGGCTCTCTGCAGAGGAGGCCGCCCCCCGACCCTGTGCCCCGGAAGGACGATGCTCTCTCAACCTCCGGTCGGGGTCTCAGAGGCCCCACGAAGGGGGCGGGCAGCGTGCAAGTGACTGTCCCCGCCAGTGGCGGCTCACCTCGGGCGCGACCCTCACCGCGGCCCGCCCGGTCTGCCTCCTGCATCCTTCTCCGCCCCCATCAAGCCGCATCACCCTGTCCACGCAAGAGTCCTTACGTGGCTTCCGCCAGGATCTAACTTTTCTCCCTTCGCTTTCTCCTGTCTGCCCCGCTGGGGACCACACCACCTCCGAGGAGCTGTTTCTCCGCCTTCAGAGAGCTTCCCAACTCACCCTCAAGTGTTAAAATGTAGATTCCAGGGCTCAGGGAGAAACTGGTCCAGTGGGTCTGAGGGGCTCGGGAACCTGCGTCCTAACTGTGCCACCGAATCAGAAGGGAAAGACCTTCACTTTCAGAAGCACTGGGCAGGGGCTGGGAAGACTGGACAAGCCTTCCTCAAGGGCCGCTCCCAGCTCCTCTCCGCGGTCCTGCCCTCCCCGCCCGGTGTGGCCCCCGCGGCTTCCAGGGGCCGAGGAGGTTTCGGGACGGATGGAAGGAGGCAGGGAGGGAGGAGGCAGGAGTAACCAGTGAGTCTGCGCCTGCTGCGCCCCTCTGAGCTGGGCCTTCCTTGGCCTTCCTCCCTCCGAGCCGGCTTCCCGCCCTCTGCCGCAGCGAGGAGCGGCGTCAATCAGGCCGCCAGCCTTGCTTCACTATCTCCCTTCCCATCCCCACCTCATCTGAAGTTTCTAGGAAGGCCAAAGACTCCTGGGGTGGGCCATTTGGGTCTTAGGAGGGGACAGGTGAGCCCCAGCCCCCACCTCCCCAGGAAAGAGGCAAAGGCACCTCTGGGATTGAAGAAAACCGGAGGAGGGGGGCAGGGCTCAGGGAAAGATAACAGCAAACAGATGGGTCACCTTCCAAGGGCCCAGCACTTACTCCCCACGACAACTCCCTAAGGCAGGAGCTGTCGCCCCCAGGTTGTAAATGCAAAACCAAACAAGGGATGATCAGAGAAGTTAAGTCACTTACTCAAGGTCACAACGCAAGTGGGAAAATAACTCGGTCATTCACACCTCTGCGTCTTCCAGAGCCTTTCTCAGGAGGTTGCTGGGAGCTGCCCCAGGCCTGCCCTGCCGGCTCCACCCCCAGGGGTCGTGGGGACGGGAGAGGGGACGGTGCAGAGATGAAAGGGGAACATCTGATAGGTCTGGCTGGAAGCATTAAAAATTCATCTTGAAACCTGACCCCGGCTGGACTTTGGGCCTGCCACCTGGACGGTCCCAGGCCTGGCGGGGCCTCCTGGAGCCTGGTGGGCCAATGTCACTTCTGCAGGGTCCTGGGAGCCCCCTCCCACCCTCACCCTGCAAGGCTTCGCCTTTCATAGGAGAGGGGTTCTCTCGTGGATTTGGGAGCTAACATCGGGAGTCAGAAGCTCAGAAAGCAGGGCTGACAACCCTCCCCCAACTCGGGGTGTAAGAACCTTAGAGGTTTAAGGGCTTATAGACCTTGTCATCTGGCGTCCTTCTCTGCCTCTCCCCAGGCGGAGAGATGCTCATGCTCAGGTTAGGATCCCCGCGCCTGACTGTGATACCCACAGTGGCCGGCAAGGGGCAGCCACCTCCTGGGAGCCGGCCCTAGCCTGAGCTGCTCCCAGCAGCTTTGAAGGAACAGAACCCCACGGTTAAGGTCAGCAAGATGGAGCTTTGGCCTTGGGGAGGGGCCCTAGACTCTGTTTTCTGAAGCAGGGGGCAAGGGTCCCACGTCTGGGGGAGACTGAGGAACTTTAGGAGAGGTGCAAAGTGGGTTTGTGGGGTTCACGTTAATGGTAATGGAGGGCCCACATGGTGCAGTCTTTCCAGCTGGAGTGAAGGTGTTGGGGGGAGGCCGGGAGAGAAAAAGATAGAAAGGCAGCCGGGCCCGGACGCTGCAGGGCCTCCGAGGCTTTGCTGCGACGTTTTATCTTTAACTTGCAAGGGAACGGGGAGCCCTCGGTGTGTGCCTGAGTAACAGAATGACATAATGCGAGTTCTGGTCTGATGGATCTGGGCAACATGGGCCAGCGGAGTGGGAGGCAGTGAGAGCGAATGCAGGAAAACGGGAGAGGAGGTTACTGCTCTTTCCTTCCACGTTCTAAGCATGAGGTAATGAGGAGATGCAGCCGGGGAGGGGATGGGAAGGAACGGCTGGGCGGGCCCTGGGTGGGGGCCGGGTGGGTGAGCCGATGGGAGATTCAAGGAAGAAACTCACTGCCACTGGGCAGTGTCGGGCAGCCGGAGACCACAGAACACAGGGAACACAGGCTGGGGGTGGGCCCTCGGGGACGGGGGTCCAGGAGCTTCCTCTCGGGCTGGGCAGTCTTGCACAAACCCCCTCCCCTCTCTATCCCGGGGGGTTGGACTGGATGGCATGCAAGGCCCTCCTGTCTCAGGGTGTGAGGCTCAGACTTTTCCGTCTGGGTTGTCTGGGGTCTGGGCGTGTGAGATCTCGGGACGGTCTCTGTGCCGGGAGTCAGGGGAGCAGCTGTGCACGCCTGTCAGTATTTGGGGTGCATCTGCCTGTTTGTGGGGCCCGTGGGTGTTGGCGTGCCTGCATGTGCTCTCTCTTGCTCCGCTTTGGTGCGAGTGTGCGTGAGGGAGCATGTGAGCGTGGGTGTGCACGTGATGGGCGTCCGTGGGTCTGTCTGGGCGAGTGGGGGCGGAGGTGGGGGAAAGTGGCCTTGCTGTCGGCTTCCTCCCGAGGCTCACACACCCCCCTCGCTTTCACCGTTCTGAAATAGCATCTGGACCAAAGGCCCATGAATATTTCACGACGATAGTTCTGTGACCTGGACCGCCTGCTTCTGATTTACCAGCATCCTCCCCCCACCCCCTCCCTGCCCAGGCGGTCCCTCCTCCTTCAGAGCTCTTGAGGGCTGGCCCCCTAAGCCCACTCATCAGCCTCCTCAAAGGCAGGGTGACACGCGCCCCTGTGAGACCCCAGACTCAGCACTATCCACTGCACCCCAACCTCACACCTTTATCCAAAGTCCACTTGCTTCAGGCCTTAGATGTTAACTCTTTCCCATTTCATCCTCCTCTCTCCACCATCCTGCTGACACCCCTGGCCAAGGCCACAGACCCTCAGCATCCTTGAGCCCTGGCACCGTGATGTCCTCTTTCCATCCCCAGCTCCCCAGATACATTCTTAACCCTAAATTTGAACCATCCAAGTCTTCCCCAGTTGCTTCTGGCAGATGAGACTCACCCAAGTCCTTCTCAGCCAAGGCCCTCCCCTTTCCCTAGCCTCTCCTCCACACACTGGAAAAATGAAGCTTCTCATCATACCTCAAGTGAGCAAGACACCCCAGCTTGGGATTCTTATCCCTCTGATCACCGAAAATCTCTCAGCTTCTCCACTAACCCACTTGGAGAACTGCTTCTCTGACCGGATTCCTCCCTGATGACTTCTGCCTCACAGGAGCCAAGGGAAAGAGCCCATTGGTCTACAGGGTTGCTGTGTACAGCTGTGCAGGTTGTACACTGCACAAAGAGCTGAATGTGAGCTGAACTCCAGCCTTATGCTGTTCGCTAAAGTGTTTGCTGCAGTTTGAAGCTGTGGTGCCCTAAGGAAGAGGTGTCTTTTTCAGGTTTACCCAAAGCCATGTTTGGGCCACCCATGTTATTACTCTCCTTGTAGGGGGAAGTGAGAGATGCTGCTTTTTCCTTCCTGAAGGAACAGGACCTGGGAGAGAACCATTAGCCAGGCTGGAGGCCTTCCCCAGGCCTGGCTCCTCCCGCACTGACAACTCGGGTGGGCTGCAGCTGCTTCTCCTGGACAGTGAGGAGGTGAGGTGGGATCAGCACACTCCTGGCTTTCGGATTTCACTTGACCTGCCCGGGACCCTCAGGGTCACCCCCTTCCTCCTCTGCCTTCATTTTCTTCTGGTAGGGGCAACGGCAGTAAGCACTTGGATGCTGTAGAATGGCTCCCGATTGCTTTCTAACTCTCCCGGCCCCTCAAAGAGTGATGGTTCTAATCCCTTCTCCCACTTTTGAGATCCTGAGCCAATAAACTTTACAGGAGATAAAATAATAGAATTTTTTAATAAATTTCCCCCCCCAAACAATGTCTGTTGATCTTCACCACACAGGGGCCATGGTGGAGAGGAACCCTTCTCTCCAGGCACCCTCAAAGTGTCCAGAGTAGACTTAAGAGAAAAGTATTTCTCCAGTGTCGGGAAGTTGAGGCGGGGGGTGAGGATAAGCAGAGGCCTGGGGCTGGCCTGGCGTCCCTCCAAAGGGCTCCTGAGAGCAGCGCCCTTCCCGGAGCATACGAGGGCTCTGCTGGTGGGCGCTGCTCTGCAGACAAAGCCCCTCTTGAGTCCACCGCGGGCGCTGGGGGACGGGGTCCGCGGCGGCCCGGGGTGCCCACTCAGCCTCGGGATGGGCACGGGTTGACGGCCGGAGGTGGGGAGAAGATCCCAGCCATGGCTTCGCGTGGCTGGGCCACCAGATGTGCGCTCCGGGGGCTGCCATCAGCCGGCGGCCCGGGAGATGGCCGGGTCCCTGGGGATGCGAGGCGCTGGGAGGAGAAGGCAGGCCGCCAGCCCGCGGTGGGCACTGGGGACGGAGGGTGAGGGGCGGGGGTCGGGGGCCGGGAGACGCCGGCCGCTTCAATCTCAGCACCGCGGTCAGAGGTGGTGGGGCGCCAGGATTATCAGGCAAAGCAGCGGGGCGGCGAGCCCGGGCGCGCGCGCGGGGCCGCGGGAGTCCGCGGGCTCCTGGCAGGCGGCTCCAGGGCACGTCTGCTCACCCCGCCGGTCCTCGCCGCCGTAGCCGCCCCAGTAGTCGTCCTCGGTGGGCGCGTCGCCGCCCGGGCGCCCCCGCGCGTCCTCGGCGGGCAGGTCGCGGTAGAGGGTGGAGGGGTCGGCCGGCGGTGCCCCGGCCTCGGCCACCCCGTACAGGTGGTTGGAGGAGCTGTTGGCGCGCGCGCGGCCCCCGGGCCGCGTGGGCGCGGCGGGCGGGCAGGACTGGAAGTCGGCCTCGCGGAGCGCGCGCAGGTCGCGGCCCCGGCGCTCGGGCGGCGAGGCGCACGTCACGTCGGAGCTGGACACGCGCGCGCGCTGGAACCAGGCCCAGAGCGGCCGCGCGCGGCAGTCGCACGCCCAAGGGTTGGCGTTGAGTCGCAGGAACTCGAGCGCCGGCAAGTCGGCCAGCGCCTCGCCGGGCAGCGAGGCCAGGCTGTTGTTGAACAGGTAGAGGATGGTGAGGCGGCCGAGGCCGCGGAAGGCGGCGCGGTGCACGCCCTGCAGCCGGTTCCCGTGCAGCAGCAGCCGGTCCAGGCTGCCCAGGCCGCGGAACACGTGCTCCGTGAGCAGCCGCAGGCGGTTCCCGTGCAAGAAGAGGTGGCTCAGGTTGGCCAGGTCCGCGAACAGGTCATCCTGGGCGGGCGTGGGGGGAGAAGACGGGTGAGTGCGCCTGAGACGCCTCGGAGGACGCCAGGGAAGCGCGGGGAGCAGCGTGGCAGAACAGGAAGGGGCCCGCCTTCTAGAGTCTTGGGTTCAAACCTGCCTCCTCTAACCTACTTGTGCGGGGAAAGCAATGTCGTTCTTAAAACTTTGGGGTGCATCAGAAACCCCTGCTGATCCCTGAGCCCTGTGCGCCTCCCCCCAAGTTTCCGATTCAACAGGTCTGCAGTAGGGGAGGGGTGGGGGGGCAGGGAGCGCTGAGATGCTGCCTGTCTTCACCAGTTTCCAGGTGACGCAGACGGTGCAGGTGGGAGGGCCACACTTGGAGACGGGAACTTATGATTTGGTTGAGCATTTGCCTTGTTTCATTTCATCTGCACATCTTACAGACGTCCTGATTCCAAATCCTGGCCCTACTACTAACTGACCCTTGAGCAAGTCACTCGGTATCCCTGTGACTCAGTCCTTCATCTGTAAGATGTGAGGTTAAATGAAACGACAGGTGTTAATATATTAATACATGGGGCGGGCATTGCCTGAGTTAGCCATTATTGTGAACTTGGCCAGCAATCCGTCTCCTCATCCGTAAAATGGGGGTGAGTGTACCTCCTCCTAGGTTTGTTCTGAGCCTTAAAGAAGACAATCCACGTGCAGATGAGATGGGTGAAGTCCGGGTTCAAACGCAGCTTTGCCCTCTTTGCAGCTGCATTACCTTCAGCAAGTTATTTAGCCTGTTTCCTCAGTGTGTGTAACTCAAGAGAACAACTCTTTCAGCAGACTGAGGGGGGATTAGATGAGATCCTGTAACCATGTGGTACCCAGTCGGCACACAGACCACCATCAATAAATGATGGTTATTATGACAGTGGGGGCTTCCTGGGTGGTCAGTGATCAAGAATCCACCTGCCAACGCAGAAGACAAAGGTTGGATCCCTGGGTCAGGAAGATCCCCTGGAGAAGGAAATGGCAGCCCACTCCAGTATTCTTGCCTGGAGAACCCTGGCCTGGTGGGTTACAGTTCATAGGGTCATAGAAGAGTTGGACATGACTTTAGCTAGTAAACAAGAACAACATTATGACAGTAGGGTCTTAGTTAGAATTCGGTTCCATCCCGTCCTTTAACAGAGGACTTTCCTGGAGCCCGAAGTTCTGCTACTAGGCTGGGACATTGAGGGGACCATGCCAGCTCCACCCTGCAGGGGCAGAGTCTGTGCCCCCTGCCCAAGGCTGGGGAGTCTCTGAATCAGGTGGTACTAGTGATGGAAGGGCCCTGAACTGTGGTTCCGGGAGGGGAGGGGTGGGTATGCTCCATGGAGGGGAGCCAGCAGGGGGCCGGGCTCTATATTTGAGCCAGTTCACTGAAGTACTGGTGATGGGCAACCTGGTTAGGGAGTGGCGGCTTCTGGGTGCACCAGCCCAACCTACTTTTTTTCTTTTCTTTTTTTACAGAGGAGAGCTCTGAGACCCAGACAGATGAAGGGCTTGCCACAGAGGGGACCAGAGCCCCAGTCCTGAGGTTCCCCCCATCTTGTGGAAGACATCACTGTGGTCCGCAGACCCAAGGGGTCTGGCTGTGGGGGACAGGAGCCTCCTCCACCCTCAAGCCAGCTCCCCCTGGATTCCGGGTTCCTGGCAGTGGCTCTCCCACTGAGATGACCCCCCAGCTCCCCCCCACCCCCCTGCCAGGCGCCCGGTCTCAGGCTCTCGGGTGGGGGGGCGGGCGCTGACTGCCCCCCCCCCCCACCCCGCCTCCACCTTCCTGTGCTCCCGCGTCGTCTCGCCCCCCTCCCATCTGGCTTCCGCCCTCTCCGCTACAGGAACCGCGGCTGCCAAGAACCCTCCTCCCGGCGGCACCGAGATCCGCCCCCCTCCACCTTGAGGCTCCCGGCCGCCGCCCCGCCCCCCGCCCGGCTCAGGTCTCCCTCCAGGGGCCTCGACCCTAGTCCAGCGGGGCCTGGTGTCCTTGTCCTTCTCTTCTCGGCTCATCCAGGGAGGGGGCTGCATGCCTTCCACTCAAACACCTAATGAGCATTTCTCTTTTTAATGGAGCGTCAGCAAGAGTAAGATGCACCCAGAGATGCCGGGTCCGAGGATCGGTATGGGAGGGAGGGGTATAGAGGGCGCGGAGGTGATGGGCATTTCGGGGGCTTCCGGAGGTCCAGAAGGGGCGACCCAAGTTCAGAGACCCCAGGGAACTCAGGCACCCTTGACTCGCAGCCCCAGAATTCTGTTACAGAATTCCCTGAATCCGGTCTCTTTGTCTTTCCCCCCAAAAGTCCTGTCCCTGCCCTTTCTGAGATCCAGCCTGGGGGGGGGGGTCCATACCCCTCAACCCCATCCAAGCTGTTGCCAAATCCCACTGCCACATCCTAGGCTGCAGCTCTCAGATGCAGCCCTTCCCCTCCCCGCTGTGAAAACGGTTCTCTGTGCATTAATAAGCTCTTGACTTTCACAGCCCTCGCCCTCCCCCACCACCCTCTCTCTCACCCCCTCCTTCTGGGCAGAGAGCATCTGCTAAAGTCATCCTCTTCCATTTCGGAAAAACCACATTTCCCTCACCTCCTCCCCGCCCCCCCTCCCCGGCCGGTTCACAGCTCTCTGCATCCATTTGGAATCTCAACGCAGCATCCCTGCCCCCTTCCCTGGTCAGCATCCTGTTCTTAACCTTGCCTCTCCCCGTCCAGCCTCCAATCAGCTGCTGGGCTGTGTGACCTTGGGCAGCTGTAGGCACCTCTCTGAGCCTCAGTTTTTTTTTTTCTTTACCCCAGTTGGTGAAACAGGGGACTTGAGGTCATTGATCATTAAGATCCATCCTCATCTGATATTAATGAGCAAGAGAGCCCTGGAATGTACCTCATTCATTCAACAAAGCTGCGCTGAGTGTCTGCCCTGTGCCAGGCACCCCCACGGATGGCTTCACCGATCTACGCCGGGTTATCATTAACCATCATTTGCGTCAGCAGCTGAGTAACCGACGCTTGCCATGTGCCAGGCTCTGTGCTACACAGATCCCATGTAGTAACCGGATCCTCACAGCCCTGTGAGGCAGAAAATATTATCCTTCCCCTTTCAGAGATTAGGGGAGGGAGGGATGGAGACGGTAAGCGACTGGCCTAGGCTGCAACAGCCATTAGGGAGTGAAGTGCAGACGTGAACTCTGGAGCCAGGCCTCCAGCTGCACTCTGGACGGAGCCAGGCCTGGGGTGATTCTAGGCTGTGCTGCTCATGAGCGGAGCGACCTTGGACGGGATGCCTTAACTTTTCCGAGCCTCGGTGTCCTTAGCCATTGAATGGGGGAAACAATGCTTACTCTGGACGAGGCTTCCCTGATGGCTTAGCGGGAAAAGAATCTGCCTGCAATGCAAGAGATCCCAGTTCGATCCCTTGTTTGGGAAGACCCCCTGGAGAAGGAATAGGCTAGCCACTCCAGTATTCTGGCCTGGAGAATTCCACGGACTGTATAGTTCATGGAATCACAAAGAATCGGACTAACTGAGCAACTTTCATTTCACTGGACTGGGCATGTGGAGCCCTTTTCAAGCAGCACCCCCTTTAATCCTCACAACAGACTCCTGGGGTTTAGGTCATTGTCCCCATTTCACGGATGGGTCCGTTGAGGCTCAGAGCGGTTAGGTAACTTGCCCGAAGCCACAGGGCAAGTCAGATCTGCCTGATGGAAAGACTGCTCTTTTGTGCCACGCAGGCTGCCCTAATGATTCAAAAAAGGGTCGGTGTCTCTATCACCCAGCTCGGCTCCAGTCGGAGCGGTGCTGCGGGAGAGCAGGGCCCCTGTCCTTGTTCACGTCTGACCCCAGGACACAGCCTGGCGTGTGCTCCGTGAGTGTCCATGCGGCAAGCGCCTGCCGCGGGCGAGCCCCCCACCCCGTTTCCACCTCCACCGCCCTCCTGAGACGCTGCGGCCCTCTTCCCTCCACCAGAGCGCCCCTCCCGGGAAGCCCGGCACCATCGCGAGTCGCGCCTGCGCCCTGGGCACCTCACCCCGCGCGTGCGCCCCACCTGCCTGTGGCATCTCCCCACTAGCTTCTCCCGGCCGTTCACAGGCAGGGGCTGCCTCCTTCCCGTCTGTGAGGGGCCCGGTGTTTCCTTCCCACGACGCCCATGCCATTCATGCCAGGGGGGTACAGAACCGGCCCGCCCCATTTCAGAAGAGCCCAGCACCCCTCAAGGTGCCTCTGCCCAGGTCGCTCCTGACCCGTCTGCCATTTGTGATGGCACACGTGAGCCAGGATTTACATTCTGGTCTGGCAGTTTCTAAACTGCCAACTGGCATTTCTAAACCAAACTGATTCAGCACTGGACTTTACAAATACGGATTCACTGACTTGTTACAGCTGTCGATGGAAGGTATTCTTTTCACTATTCCCATCTTAAAGATGGGAAAACTGAGGTTCAGAGTGGGGGGCAGCAACTTGCCGAAATCAAGTCAGAAAATAACAGAGTGAGGATTCAAACTCAGGTCTGCTGACCCTAGATTCCCTAACCTGCTGGAGTGCAACTGGATGGTAGAGACACCCAGCTCTTTTTTAATCATTAAAAAAATTTAATCATTAAAAGATTTGATCATTTAAAAAGCCTGCATGGCATAACTGATACATGTTGATAAGGAGGTCAGGGTCTCAGTAATAGTGGTTCTCACACTGCTACTGCTAAGTCACTTCAGTTGTGTCCGACTCTGTGCGACCCCATCCCTGGAATTCTCCAGGCAAGAACACTGGAGTGGGTTGCCATTTCCTTCTCCAATGCAGAAAAGTGAAAAGTGAAAGTGAAGTCGCTCAGTCATGTCTGACTCTTCGCGACCCCATGGACAGCAGCCCACCAGGCTCCTCCATCCATGGGATTTTCCAGGCAAGAGTACTGGAGTGGGGTGCCACAGTAGTAATAATTAACAACAATAATAATGATAGTGCCCATACATTGATGTGGCCCTGTGCTAAATTTTATTTTCTCTTATTTATTGGCTGCAGCACGTCACGCGGGATCTTAATACCCCACCAGGGATTGAACCTGCGCCCCTTGAAGGGTAGCGCTAAGTCTTAAGCACTAGCCTGCCAAGGAATTCCCTACATTTTAATCCTTACAAAACTTCTTAGATCAGTATTGATATGGTTAAGTACTATCATGATTGCCAGAGAGGCAACAGACATGGACGTGAAGACAGGTTGAGTAATTTGTCCGAAGTCACATGTGAGCCAGGATTTAAATTCTGGTCTGGCAGTTTCTAAAGCAGGTGCTTTCAGAAATGAGCCCACTCTGCTGTTCTTATGAGTACCACCCCCCCACCCCCCGCACCTGGTCGGACCCCCGTGGAGCGTTCTGAGTGACGAACATGGCCGGAAATGTCATCAGATCATGAGGGTTCAAGCGCCGCCGGGTCCTTCTGGTGGTACGGCCTCAGAAACTTCATTCTATGTCCCCGCTGCCCGCTTGCTGTGAGGCCTGTGATGCTGAGAACATGTCAGGCCCAAGCACAAGGACAGCATTTACCAGGCTTTGGGACAAAGTCTTTGGGACCCTCGGTCTCAGCTTCCTTATCTTAAGGAGGTGGGAGCAGTCCCCCAGCAGGGCTGCAGAAGTGAGATGAGGTGACTGAGCACACTTTGGAAACCATGAGGTGCCAAGTTAGGAAGGAAAAAAAAAAAAGGAGTGTTCTGGCACCCACTCATGGTCTCAGCAGAATCCTTGAAGTTGACCCATATCTTCAGGATAGGGCCCAAGATGAGCCATTTCACCAAGACCAGCATTCAATGAGGCGGGTTTCTCTTTTTAAAATAGTATCTTAACAAGCATTTATAGCATGCTTACCGTATGCCAAGCACCATCTCAAGTGCTTTACAAATTATTCATGCACTTAACGCTTCTCAAATCCCTAGGGGATGGATGCTATGACTACCCCAATTTTACAGATGGGAAAACTGAGGCCCGGGGAGGTTATAAACGTCACACACTTGTAAATGACAGGGCTGATGCCGGTAAAGTCCTCAGCACAGCACCCCACACTTAGTGTACCCCCTAATGGCTTGTTGTCTAGTCACTCAGTCCTGTCCAACTCTTCGTGACCCCATGGACTGTAGCCCGCCAGGCTCCTCTCTCCACGGGATCTCCCAGGCAAGGATACTGGAGTGGGTTGTCATTTCCCTCTCCAGGGGATCCTCCCGACCCAGGGATTGAACCCAGGTCTCCTGCAAATGGCAGGTGCTTTCTTTACAGCTGAGCCACTAGGCTGAGGGCTCGTGGGCTATTACTATCATTATTTATGCAATAAATATGCTTGCAGTGCGGGAGACCTGGGTTCAATCCCTGGGTTGGGAAGATTCCTTGGAGGAGGGCATGGCAACCCACTCCAGTATCCTTGGCTTGGAGAATCCCATGGACAGAGGAGCCTGGCGGGCTACAGTGCATGAGGTCACAAAGAGTCAGACAGGACTGAGCAACTCAGCACAGCACATATAGTAAGAATAAAACACAGCATATTTTGCCACTGTACTATCTATTTTACTTCCTCTTTCTCTCTGCCCCTAGGGTGCTCTGCACAAAGGCAGGAGTTTCCTGGGCTTTGTTCACTGCCCTTTTTTCACCATCAGGCACTTACTGGGTGTTCAATAAATGTTGGATTATTAGTGCTAGCGTTACTGTCATTATCAGCATCAGATGCACACAGGCTGAGCAGTCAGGCCCCAGCCGGGGGTGGGGAGGGAGAAGGGCCGTCCAGGTGGGTGGGGGGAGAGGGTCGCAGTTGGAAATCCAGAGGCCTGAAACCTAAAGGGAGGATTTTCTCCTCGGATGGTTTGGAGGGTCTGTTATTGCTTCCTGGGGAAACAGTGGGAGGACTTGACTGTCAGACAGTCAGCATAAGAACAACAGTGAACAATATTTAGATCAATAATAATAACAATAAATAACCATTACGTTATTCCTTCCGTTTTTCTGAGTATCCATTTCCCAGCTACTTCACAGCTCATTACCCTCTCTTGTCTCCTTCTCCCATTGCGCTGAGACAGTAGGTTTGGGGGGGGTGGGATCTAGGCAGGGTAGGGTTTCCCCTGGTCTCCGCACCCAGTGAGCGGGAGCCTCCTGTGGGGTGGCGGCTGCAGTGGCTCCGCCCTCCGCGCCCCCCTGCCCGTGACGTGGGAGGGCGTACGGGTGGGCGAGGAAAGCCGCCACGATGCCCCTCGGGCTGCACTGCCCGCGAAAAGGCAGAGTCTGCCGGAGGCAAGGGGGAGAGGAGAGATCACGGGAAGAGACACACACCTCCACCCAGACAGACGTGGGGGGGGTGTTTGGAGTGGGCGCGTGAAGGAGACAGACAGAAGAGGCAGAGGCAGACAGACGGGGGCGGCGAGTCCGTGAGCAAGAGGAGAGGGGCCGCAGGGACAGACAGACAGAGGAGTCAGATGGGGCAGTGGGGGCGCGGAGAAAGACGGAAGGGACAAAGGAAGGCCCCGGACCAAGTGGGATGAGCAGAAGCCTTCAGAAGGGAGGGAGATGCTGAGAAACGGAGGGAGGGGCCGAGACACGGGGGAGAGGGGCTGAGACACGGGGGAGGGGGTGAGACATGAGGGCGGGGCCGGGACACGGCGGTGGGGGGGGGCGAGGGAGGGGCCGGGGACAGGGAGACGCGGAGACACGGAGGCGCTGGGCTCGAGGCAGGAAGGGTCCCAGGGAGAGAGGCGAGGCGGGAGGACTCCCACGTCCGCGGCCGCAGAGCGGGGCGCTCACCTGTAGGTGGAGCAGGCTGTTCTCCTGGAGGTAGAGGTACTGCAGGCTGACCAGGCCGCGGAAGATGGTGCCGGGCAGGCTGCTGAGCTGGCAGCGATAGAGGTGCAGCGACTGCAGCCGCTCCAGGCCCTGGAAGGTGTCGGGCTCCAGCGAGCGCAGGTGCCGGTTGTCGCCCAGGTCCAGCTCCTCGAGCGCCTGCAGGTGGCGGAAGGTGCCCGGGTAGATGGCCGAGAGGTTGTTGGAGAAGAGCCACAGGGTGAGCAGGCTGGGCCCAAAGGACCCGGGCCGCAGCGCGGTGATGAGGTTGTTCTGCAGGAAGAGGCGCTGTGTGCCGGGCGGCAGGGCCCGCGGCACCGCCGAGAAGTTGTTGGCCTGGCAGCTCACGGTGGGCGGTGCCGGGTAGCAGGTACAGAGCATGGGGCAGCGGGCGACGGCAGGGGCTGCGGCCAGGAGGAGCAGGAGGACGCAGGCCGGTGGACCTGCGGGCAGATGGGTTGCCGGAGGGGTTAGCAGACCCCGCCCACCTACCCTGAAGGGGACCTGGGCCGGGGGCGTTCTGGGCGGGCTACCAGGGGGGGTGCCAGCCACAGACCCTGCCCACCTACCCCTAAGGAGACCTAGGCCGAGAGCCTTGCCTTTCTAGGTTGGAGGGGCCCAGATTCTGGGCTACTTCCGCTTTTAGAGCCTCCTGGTACATTAAAATAAATGCCCAGAGGATACTCTGATGGGTTGAAAGTTGTTTGATGAGCGGCTGTCTACTTCCATTCTGGTTTTCACTGTGGTGGGTCTGACGGTGACTCTAAGCGTTGACCACACTGCTTTGTGGTCCGGGGGTGGGGGGCGGTCCTATATGACGTTCTATACAGCAGGGGTTCCCCACCCCAGGACCTAATGCCTGATGATCTGAGGTGGAGCTGATGAAACAATAACAGAAATAAAGTGCACGACAAACCTAACCTGCTTGAATCATCCCCGGACCACCCCCTCGCCTGGTCCCTGTAAAAACAGTCTTCCACGAAACCTGTCCCTGGTGCCAAAAAGGCTGGGGATGGCGGCTATACGGGGCTTTAGCAGCTTCCCTGTCCTCTCCGCATTAGATGTGTAACACTCCTCCCCTCTTACGAGAATGAGAAGGTCTCCAGACATCACTGCCAGTATCACCTGGGAAGAAAAACTGACCCCATGGGGAACAGCTGGCGCTAAACCAAGACCCTCTGTGAGTCTAAGGCCCCCTGGTGACCGTGGGCCTCCTCCCTCACCTCTCCACCCTGGAAGGGCTCTCAGGGACCACGGGCAGGGGGTCTCTCCCTGGGGCCAGCAGCCATCTGCAGGAGAATGGGAGTGGGGTGTCCTGAAGGAATGCCGCTTCTGGGCCCTGCCTGGGCAGAATCAGCACCCCGAGGGGGACAGCCCAGGAACCTCACATTTTACACCCCAGGCTCTTCTCCTTCAAAGTCACTTAAAATTTTTTTTTTTTCAAAGTAACTCTTGAAACTTGGCTATGATTCAGATGGAGAGGCAGGCCCAGGGGATTGGGAGCTAAAGAGTCACGTCTAGACGCCCACACCCCTGAGCACCAGCAGGGCTGTGGGCCCCTCTCCCATCCTGACCCTGGCCTTCTGACCCTCACTGCAGCTGAGGAAGTTCTGGAACCACCTTGACCTCTACCCTTGATCCTGGCTTCCCGATGACTCTTGGGATTTTCTTCTGGCAGGTTTTGCAGCCCCCAAAAGCCAAGTGCTCATTCTCTGGGCACAGGGGTAAAGGGCACCGTCTGCTCCAGACAGTGTGCTAGAGCTAGGAAGGTAAGGAAGGACCCACTCCCTTGGACCCAAGGACCTGAGATCTTGGGCCCTGGGGTCGTGGGGAGAGCCTGAGGGGGTCCCTGCCTGCCGGTGACCCCTGGTGTCAGAGGTGTGAATGCATGTGTGAGCCAGGTGCTCTGTACATGGAGCACTTCTGGGCCCGGGGTGGCACACAGCACACACACACGAGGTGGCACACGGCATGCACACAGGATTGCACACGGCGCACACTTGGGATTGCACACGGAGCACATACACGGGGTGGCACACAGCATGCACACGGGCTGGCACACGGCACGCACACACGGGGTGGCACACGGCACACACATGGGGTGGCACATGGCGTGCACACACGAGGTGGCACACGGCACACACACGGGGTGGCACACGGTATGCACACTCGGGGTGGCACATGGCGTGCATTCGGGATCGCACACGTTGCTCACACACGGGGTGGCACACGGCACGCACACACGGGGTGGTACACAGCGCTCACACATGGGGTGGCACACGGCACGCACACACGGCGTGGCACACGGCACGCACACACGAGGTGGCACACGGCACGCAGAGTGCACACAGCGCACACACGGGGTGGCACACGGCACACACACACGGGGTGGCACATGGCGCTCACACACGGGGTGGCACACGGCACACACACACGGGGTGGCACACGGCGCTCACACACGGGGTGGCACACGGCACGCACACAGAGTGCACACGGGTGGCACACGGCGCTCACACACGGGGTGGCACACGGCGCACACATACGGGGTGGCACACGGCGCTCACACACGGGGTGGCACACGGCGCACACATACGGGGTGGCACACGGCGCTCACACACGGGGTGGCACACGGCACGCACACTCGGGGTGGCACACGGCACACACACACGGGGTGGCACACGGCGCTCACACACGGGGGTGGCACACGGCACGCACACACGGGGTGGCACACGGCACGCACACACGGGGTGGCACACGGCACACACACACGGGGTGGCACATGGCGCTCACACACGGGGTGGCACACGGCGGTCACACACGGGGTGGCACACGGCGGTCACACACGGGGTGGTACACGGCACACACACACGGGGTGGCACACGGCGCTCACACACGGGGGTGGCACACGGCGCTCACACACGGGGTGGCACACGGCACGCACACAGAGTGCACACGGGTGGCACACGGCGCACACATACGGGGTGGCACACGGCCCTCACACACGGGGTGGCACACGGCACGCACACTCGGGGTGGCACACGGCACACACACATGGGGTGGCACACGGCGGTCACACACGGGGTGGCACACGGCGCTCACACACGGGGTGGCACACGGCGGTCACACACGGGGTGGCACACGGCGGTCACACATGGGGTGGTACACGGCACACACACACGGGGTGGCACACGGCGCTCACACACGGGGGTGGCACACGGCACGCACACACGGGGTGGTACACGGCACACACACACGGGGTGGCACACGGCGCTCACACACGGGGTGGCACACGGCGCTCACACATGGGGTGGCACATGGCACACACACAGAGTGCACACGGGGTGGCACACGGTGCTCACACACGGGGTGGCACACGGCGGTCACACACGGGGTGGCACACGGCGGTCACACACGGGGTGGTACACGGCACACACACACGGGGTGGCACACGGCGCTCACACACGGGGGTGGCACACGGCATGCACACACGGGGTGGCACACGGCACACACACACGGGGTGGCACACGGCGGTCACACACGGGGTGGCACACGGTGGTCACACACAGGGTGGTACACGGCACACACACACGGGGTGGCACACGGCGCTCACACACGGGGTGGCACACGGCGCTCACACATGGGGTGGCACATGGCACGCACACAGAGTGCACACGGGGTGGCACACGGTGCTCACACACGGGGTGGCACACGGCACACACACACGGGGTGGCACACGGCACGCACACTCGGGGTGGCACACGGCAGGCTCACACGGGGTGGCACACGGCACGCACACACGGGGTGGCACACGGCACGCACACACGGGGTGGCACACGGCACGCACACACTGGGTGGCACACGGCGCATGCCCGGGGTGGCACACAGACCGCGTGTGTGGCGCCAACGTCAAGGATGCTTGGAGGAACCTCCTCCCTGGAGGACTGCAAAGGCGCGGTTGTCCCCGGTGCCCGGCCCCCCATGAGCGTGCAGGCTTGTGCCCGCGGCCCCCCGCGTATGTGAGTGCCGGGCCCCGTGCGTGTGTGGGCCGGGTGTGATGTAATACTCAGTGACACAGCCGCCGCTGTTCCATTCGTTCACACCGCCTCCGCGCTGATGGCCCTTCTCACCCCTCCCCCGAGCGGCGTTTCACGATCACTCTCTCCTCCCGGGGTTTCTGGGAGCCACGTGGGCTGCAGGGGTGCGTCTCTCGCCCCTCAGCCCCACCAGGCAGGGGTGGGAGCCCGGGGGAGGGTTTCAGGAGGGCTGAGTTTTGGGGCTCAAGACACCGCGCTCAGAGCCGGGCAGCCCTCCAGGCTCATCCGGTTTCAGGTTCTGGTTCTGCTGACCTGCCTGCCACGGCTCTGAGGGGCCCAGTGACTGGGCCAAGGTCACACAGCAGAGCAGCCAGCGAGCACCGGAGCGGACGGTCCCCCTATGGCCGGCCAGGGCCGCTCCCTTCCTGGTGGGGTCCCCCTCCAGCTCCCTTCCCCAAGGACTGGACACCAGAGAAAGCCAAATCCCTCTCTGAGCCCTTAATCCTGCGGCTGATCCATCACCTCGAAGCGTGTGTGTGTTCAGAAAGCCGCCATCCCCCCAACCCCCCCATCCCCGAGGATTAAGGAGCTCTTTCCCCAGCCTCCAGGCTGACTGTTCCCCCAGAACCTCCAGAGAATGGGGGGGACAGAGGGAACAGAGAACCCCCAGGAGAGACGGCCCGTGGTTCCAGAGTGCTCCAGAGTCAGAGCGGTCCCGGGCACCAGGGTCTCCTCCAGCCTGGGGTGGGGCGGGGGGCGGGGTCAGCAGGGCCCCCTCAGTACCTTTAGCCCACACTTCCCCGCCCCCCTGCCGGCCCCTGTCGCCCCCATCATCCTGGCCCACCTCCCTGCAGCCTCTCTGATGCAGGGCCCTGAGCTGGGGGCCTCCGTGACAGCTGCCCTAACAGTGACTCTGTTGCCATTTCTGGCCCTGGCCGCCGCCATGCAAGGCAGCTGAAACCCAAGGAGCCTCATCCATAATTCAGGCTGCGGCTCACACTGGAAGCCAGGCACAGGGGAGGCTGGGGGGCTCTGGGCTTCTCTGCCCCCGGGGCCTGGTGGGCGCTGCCTTCCTCCGCCCCTCCGCAGGCCCCCCCCACCCCCCGCAGCCCCTGCCTGCAGGTCTCCTCACCACCCCCCTCCCCGCCCCCGCCTCTCCCCACCAGGACTCCATCCGCCCCAGGCCCCGCCTTCTCCCCCCCAAAGGACCACAGGTCCACTCCCAGCCCCATCGTGAATGCCTGGTGAGGACCGCGGTGAGAGGCACAGAGTCTCAGAGCAGGAACGGCGGACACCTCGTCAGCCATCAGGGGCTGATCCCTTATCTCAGTGGCCACGCCATCAGTGAGCGGCCCAGGCCCGCACCCGAATCTCAGTCTGCCATCAGCCCCTTTCTCCAAAGCTCCATCTGACCCCTCGCCACTATCTGGGCCAAGGAAAGCCCATCCCAGCAGCTCCCCTCACCCTCTCTGCTCATCTCATCCTATCTTTTGTGTTTCATTTTTCCCTGAAGTCAGTAGGTAGGTGATGCTTGAGTTGCAGGGGAGCGTAGAGCAGCGATGGGCAGAAACCATCTGTGACTGAACACCTACTGTGTGCCAGCCACAGCATTCGGACACATCTTTGTGCACAGAATCAACACAGTATCGCCCCCGTGAGATCAAGATTCTGGGCCCCTATTTGCAAGTGAGGACAGGGAGGCTCTCAAACGTGAAATGCGTTGCCTCGGGTCATGCAGCTGGTACAAGGTGGAACCTGGATGGCACGAGTCCCTGTCTAAAGGGACTCTCTGACCTTTCTCTGGGAGACCCCATGTCAGCCATGGAAGCCACCCCTGCATGTGAGAGTTGCTGGGCTTGGGGGAAAGAGAGCATAGAAATTGCGCCCAGGTGCAAAAGGCCGGGCCAGCAATGACGCCGGTTCTGTTTGCCTGTTTAGGGTCGAGGCGAAGGGAGGACCCGGCTCTCTGCAACTTTGGCTCCCTGGGCTCCAGGCTCTGGTTGTTTGAGGTGACATCCCATCCAGAGGCGGGAAGAGAGGCCCCGTGTCCAGAAGATGAGGCCAGAACTGATCAGGGGAGGGAACAGAGAGAGATCGGAACATGGCATTGATCCCGGAAGGCAGAGGGCCCAGAGCCAGAAATGATCCATTCACCGCGGGCCCATCGTCAAGGACGCCAGGCCATCGCCCTGGGGCATCAAGGCTCCCAAAGTTCTCTGCCCAGGAGTCACCCTTGGGTCCAGAAATCGCTGGGAGAGAACAAACTGGAGGAGGGGGCGGGGAAGAGTGGCCCCAGGGAAAATGCTCCCTGGGAAGGGAGTGCAGGCCTGGGGTTCTGACACCAGAAAAGGTTGGGAAGGGCTGGGGCCTGCCGGGCAGATGCTGAGGGGGTAGGGGCCGAGGAAGTGGGAGGCGATGGCATGACGTAGGGGCCCGAGAGGCACTGGCGCGGGTGCCGGAGGTTTAGAGCCGCCGCAAACAGCTTCTCACCCCGCCAGAATGTAACACACCGAAATAAGCAGCCACCGTGGTGGCGGAGACGGCAGAATCCTCCTCCTCCGACGGCGGCCGGCGGAGCCCAGAGATATAAATGGCAGCGTGCGGTCAGCCAGGGCGCCCACCCCTGGAGGCTGCCACCCCACGCCGGTGTCTCCCCCAAGTCCCCCTCACAGCTGCCCACCCCCTCACCCCCCCACCCCCCAGAGCACGGAGCGCAGAGCCAAGGGCGGGAGGCTGGCCGGCCGGCCACTCCCTGCGAAGAGCGGTGTGATGGGCAGGCGCTTTGGAAATGGAGGGCTCCCCACGTGGACGTGCTCACCAGAAGTCTCTTTGTCTCTCTCTCCCGTCCCTCTGCCTCCTTCCTTTCGGCCCTTCCCAGTCCTCGGCCCGGTCCTGATGAACCCCGACCGCCTCTCCCCGCTGGTTTCCCAAACCCAAGCCTGGAGCTCACGGTCTCCTGTCCCTGACCCCGCACCTCTGTCCACCACTCGGTCCTCCTCCGCTCGCGGGCTGTCTGCTCACTCACTCCCCGCGCCCTCGGCATCCCTAGATCGCAGTCCTCAGCGCATTCTCGTCCCTCCCACCACCAGGAGCCGGCCCGGACCCTAGTGGTCTGCCCCCCTCGCCCCTGACCCGCCCTCCCCTCTCCCCGCACCCCTCCGTCCTCACCGGGGTTCCCCTTCCTTCCCAGCTTTCCCCGTCTAACCTTTCTTCCGCCTCCTCCCTGCCGCCCTCCGCGGACCCCTCTCCATCTCTGGCTGCTCCTTGCCTGCCCCTCGCTGCCAGCCCCTTCCCACCCCAGCCCAGCCCCCGGTCCCTGGCCCACACCCTGGTCGGTCGGCCACACCGTCCGTGGAGAGATGCCCTTTGTAGCGCCCTCCGCTGTCCTATCGGGGAGGGCCGTTGGGGTCTCCCCCGCCCCCCGCGCCCCCGACCCTCCCAGACAGCGCCCTGCTCTCAGCCCCCGTCCCCCCGGCGACTGGAAAGTGCTGAGGCACCGGGCGCCAGAAGTTGCTGAGTCGGCGCTGCCCGGCCGCCCGGAGTCCTCAGCATCGCCCGGAGCAGGTGGGGCCGGGATGGCGGGACCGGAGCACCTCCCCGCCCCGGCCCGGGTCCCCCCTCGCTCACGAGCCGCTCGCCCACCCCGGCGGGCTCCGGAGGCGGGGGCGGGGCCCGGGGCTGCGTGCTCCCCCCATCCCCCCCAGGCCGCCCCCCACCCGCGCGCCCTGGGGGCCCGGGCGCCCGGCTTCCCTCCGCCCGCGGGGGTCCCTACCTGGCAGCAGGCTCCCGAGCCCGGGCAGCATCTTGTCGCGACGCTCAGGGGAGGGGGCGGTGGGGGGAGGGCGCCTCCACAGGCTCCCCGAGCCTGCCGGACGGACGGCAGGGGACCCCGCGGGGCTCCGGGAGGGCCCCGCGCGGCGTGGCCGGGCCGCGGCGGTCTACCCCGCGCCCCCCGGGCTGCGAGCCTCGGGAGCAGCCATCGGCCCCGACGGGGCGCGGCAGGGCGCAGAAGGCTGGGGCTGGCCGTCGACGCCCGGGGCCCGCGCCCCCGGGAGTGCAGGCAGCGCGCGGGCCCGTCCGTCCGTCCGTCGGTCCGCGCGCCCCGGCCGCTCGCCGAGCGAGAGTGCGGCCGCTCGCCGAGCGAGAGTGCGCCGAGCGAGAGAGGAGGCTGCTCTTCCCACCGCCTCCTCCCGGCGCTCGCTGGCTCCTCCCTCGTCTCCGGGCTTGCCGGCTTAACCCTTGCCTGGCCGCCAGGAGGCGGAGCGGCTCCCCCGCCCCCGGCAGTCCGGCCCCCTCCCTTGCCTGGGGGTCCCGGAGGGCTGTGTTCGATCGCTCTCGCCGCGCCTCGCTGGTGGAGGAATCCCCGCCTGAGGGGGTGCGGTCGTGTTCGGGAACCCTGTGGAGTCGCCCAGTTCTCCCCCGCACCCCAACTCTCCCGAAGGGCTCCTGGGTCACCTCCCCCCTCCTCGCGCAGCCCCGGGCCCCTAAGCGCAGGCCTCGGACCCTCCTCCCTCCGGGAGAACTCCGAGATTCCACCTTCTCTTCTGTTCCCAGACCCCGAGCCCTGAGTGTGTAAGAACAGTCAGTGGGTGCAAGCTCTGGGGCACGTGAGAGCGCGCGAGAAAGGATGCTTGTGCAGGTGTGATAGGGCTGGCACGTGATCTTCCATAGGGGCCGGTGGCGGGGGCTGGCCCGGGCACCTGAGTGGGCGAACCGATGGGTCGCCGGGTGTCCGCCCGCTTGCGGGTGAGCGCGTCTGGGGAACCTGGGGCCGAGGGAGTTTGGCGCAAGCGAGCTTGAGGACGGGGTGGCAGGGTTGTGTGTGCCCTGGCGTGTGTACGCCCCTTGATGTGCTCGCAAGCGGGGGCAAGTTTGGGTGAGCGCGGGTCTCTTCCGAGAGGGCGATGGAACCCTCGCGCGGACTTCCTTCTCAAGAGGGGTGCATTCTGACCTCTTCTGGACCTTGAGCGCCCCTCATGGCCTTGTTCGGGGCGATCCCTGCGGGGCCGACACCGAAGCATCTTCTCATAAAGGCGGCGGTGGGGTTCACCCCGGCCTTCAGCTGCTCCAGGGAGAAGGGTACCCGGAACTCGGGAGTGCCCCGGCACGGGATGGGTGGGGGGCCCTCGGGGTCGCCGTTTCGGGGCCGCAGGTCGGGCTGGGGCTGTGAGCGCGGCGCGTACGCCCCGGGCGGGCGGCGCAGGACCCGCAGGCGTCCTGGACAGCACCGCCCGTGACCAAGCGACAGACGCCCTCGGCGGTCCGCCGGACTCCTCCTCTCCCTCCCGGGCCAGAACAGCAGCTTAGCGCCTGGCATACAGTCGGCGCTCTATAAATGCTGATCTCATCTTTCCTTGCACTCTGTTCCACCCGTAATCTCATCCTTCCCTCGTTCCCGTCCGATTCCTCTCCTGTCTCCCCCGACTCTTATTCACATTTCACGGTCCCAAACTCCGTCCCCTCCCACCCTTCCCCTCTCCTTTCTCTCTCCCTCCCTTTCCGCGTCTGCCTCTTTCTGTCCGTGTGTCTGTCGCTCGCCTCCGGTCCTCCTGACCCCCTGTCTCTCCATCTCTGGGTCTCGTGTCTCTTTGTCTCCCAGCTCCCTTTCCGCCCGGTTTCAGTCGCGGGCTCCCAGTCCTCTTGCCCCTCTGCGCTCGGGCGCCCCCCCCCCCCAAGTTGGCTCCATTGTCTGCCCTTCCCGGGCTCCCAAAATCTAAAAGCCCTCTCCCCGCGTCTCAGCCTTCGGGTGGGGTGGGAGTGCCGAGGGACGGCCCCGGGGCCCTGTTCCCCCCGCCCATCTCTAGAAAGCAGGGTCCCTGCGCGTCCCGGGGCCCAACCCTCGGAGCGCCCGCGCCCGGAAGGGGGGCCCGCAGGGGGTGGCGGGGAGGGAGTGTTGAGGGTAGCAGGGTGGGATTTGGCGGCCTTCCCCGGAATGAGCCGCGGCACAATCTGTCGCTGGGTTTGTTTGCCGAGCTGCCTCCGGAGCGCGGTGGGGCTGGCTCCCGGGAGCGAAATATCACACGAGGCGGAGACAGACGCAGAGGGGCGGGTGGGCGGCGGGCTGACTCAGGTGTGCGCTGTCATCGGTCCTGGGTTCAGCGCTCTTGGAGAGGGGGTGGTTGGGGGGGGGACCTGGGACCTCCGACACAGGCGGGTCCCTGAGCTGGGAGGGGAGCCCCCATCCCAGGGTGACTCGCAGGAAAGAGGGCGCCCCTGCCAATGATCCCTGCCTGGGAGCCCCAAGAGACACCCCGAACTTGGGTGTGTCCCAGTCGGTGCACATTCCCTGTGCTCACTACCCCACTACCCAGGCGTCGGTTGTCTATAATTACCTGCTGACTCACCACTTTCCCCTACTAGACCGCCTGCCTTGTGAGGGCAGGAAATTCACCCCATCCATCTTTGCATCCCCAGCAGGTGCTCAATGAACAGGTAGGATGGATGAATGGCGCGTGGGTGGGCGGTGGGGGTCTCAATTTACAGGAAATACCATCTTCCCAGGAAAGCTTTCCACCTCTTGTTCCTCTTTTCCCTTGGGCATTACCCCCCAACCCCCAGCCTCTCCTACAGACAGGCGGGAAATTGGAAACAGCTCTTCCAGAAGACCAGAGTCCTCTGGGTGACCCAAAGGGAATGCCTTCCTTTTCCTGGGGCCTCAGTTTCCTCGTCTGTACAATGGGATCATACCACTCACAGTTAAGCTTTGGTTTACCAGGAAGTCCCCAGCGAGTCAAGGTGAAATGAGGTTCTGCCCAGTGTTGGGGGTGGCAGCTGTTGTCATTACTGTTTGCGTGGTGATCCTGACGGTCTTATCTCAATAGAATCAGACACCGTGTCTCACTGAACTAAACTTCTGCAGTTAGAGGTTTGGAGATCTAAGGGATGGAAGCTGATGTGGGTATGCATGCTTAGTTTCTCAGTGGTGTCTGACTCTTTGCGACCCTTTGGATGAGTAGCCCACCAGGCTCCGCTGTCCATGGGATTTTCCAGGCAAGAATACTGGAGTGTGTTGCCATTTTCCTCCTCCAGGGGGGTCTTCCCCACCCTGGGATGGAACCCGGGTCTCCCGCCTTGCAGGCAGATTCTTTGCCTACTGAGTCACTGGGCAGGCCCAGGCTGATGGCCCTCGGGGCAAAGTGAAAAGGGGGCGTCTTACGGGCACCAGGCAGGGCTCTGCAGGGTGCTGTGTCCGCGCCTTGGCACAGAGCTGGCCCGCCCTCTGGTGGCCCTAGGCGGATCTGCAGCCCCAAGGGATGCCCAGGAGCTCAAGCAAAGCAGCTGATGGATGGGCTTTCCCTGAGAAGGAGGGTTCCCTGGGAGGTCGCGTAGAAGGAGCAGGACACGGACACAGACTAAATGGGTGTTGACTTCATCAAGAGTGCCCTCCTATCAACATCGGCCCAACTCTCAGTGTGACCCCCAGAGTCCCCTCTTCCTTCTGGGCAGTTCCGTCTGGTGAGTTCAGGGAACTTCGCTGGTTCTTCTTCTCCACTTATCTGGCAACCTCCCTGTAGGATGCTTGTTGGTTGGTGGGCCTACAAGGTGGGCTGGCTCAGTGGTCAAGAGCAGAGCTTTGCTGGGTTCACCTCCTGGCTCTGCTGTGGCCACAGCTAGATGACCTTGGGCTAGCAGTTAAAATTTCCTAAGCTTCCATTTCCTCCTCCGAACAATGGGGGTGGAGGACGGCAGCAAGCAATAGTAGTTCCCGGAACTTCCCTGGTGGTCCAGTGGTTAAGCATCTGCCTGCCGATGCCTATGCCAATGTCGGGGACACACAGGTTGAATCCCTGGTCAGGAGAGATGCCACATGCCTCGTGGCAACTAAGCCTGGAGCCTGTGCTCTGCAATAAGAAAAGCCACCATGATCAGAAGCCCACACACTGCAGCAGGAGGGTAGACCCCCGCTCGCTGTAGCTGGAGAAAGCTCAAATACCCAGCATAGCCAAAAATTAACCAAATTAATACATTAATGGAAAACAAAAATCAGGGGAACCTGGCCTGCTGCAATCCATGGGATCACAAAGAGTCAGACTCGACTTAGCACCTGAACAACAACAAGGAAAAGAGTAGCAGTTCCCAGCTCATCGAGTTGTTTAAGGATCAAATGAGACAAGGCATGAAAGAACCTAACAGAGAGCCTGACCCTATGCTCCATAAATGCTAATAATGTTCGTATTAATTTTCTTGTTTAGCCTAACAGCAACTGGAAGACATAGATGCTGCATTTTAGGGGCAGGCAGCAAAGTTATGACCTGAAATCTCAGAGGTCCCAGTGGCAGAGCCGAGTCTGAGAGTCAGTTCTTAGTTAGAATGTCCCACCCGACGTGTCTGACCGCCTCTCCGCCTGCCCCAGCCGCAGACCAGGGTCGTCTGCCCAGTGTGATGAAGGCAAACCAGACCTGCGTTAGGAGTCTTGGGTTCTAGCCCGGACCCTGCCTCTGAATGGCTGTGTAATGTGGGACAGACCGCTATTGTCTCTGGGCTTCTGGCTCCTTCTTTCAAAACGTGCATCTTGGACTCAGTACCCTTGAGAAGTCTCGCAAAGCCATGACTGGGTGACACCCCACCTCTGTGACTCTGGAATCAGAAGCTACTGAAAATGAAGCCTCTCAGCTAGATTCCATGCTGCCCCCATCTTGTCCAGCCCTTGGGGTGTGACAGGGGCCCCAGAGGAAGGTTAGAATTTCTAGGGATCCCTCAGACCCCACTCCCCCAGGCACTCCCGCTGGCTGCCAGGCCTGCCCCGACCCTGTCGGTGATCAGCGGTTGGTGAGCGCATACTTTGGAGGCAGGGAGAAACAGCTGCCCCTGCCCTTGGCACCCAGAACCCTTGCCAATGAGCCCCTCTTCCTCCTCTGCCTGCGTGCTGGGGACAGGGGTCCTTTCTGAAACAGGAGACAAGGAGACTGCCCTGCTGGTCCGGAGGTTAAGAATCTGCCTTTCAATGCAGGGGGTGTGGGTTCCATCCCTAGCGCGGGAACCAAGACCCCCCACGTGGCGGCACAGCTACTTCGCCTGTGCACGCTAGAGTCCGCACACCGAAACTGGGAAAGCCCCAACCCTCAGCGAAGACCCCGTGCAGCCAATAAACACATAAAACAAGTCAAACAGGGAGAACACGGGAACGAGACGTGCTTAAAGGGCGAGGGTGTCAGAGGATGCCTTTTCCCCTGCTTGGTTTCTAGGGTCTCTGTTCGTCTCCATCATTTGTGCTAACTGGCCTTTACTAACTACTTGCTTCGTGTCATGAATTTATGTGCACTGGCTCATTTAAGATTCAGAGCAGCTCAATGGAATGGGAGTCTATTGATATCCACTTTACACAGATGGAGATACAAACTCGGAGAGGTGGTACTACTTTTAGATCTGGGCGGGAAGGGTCTTGCCCTGGGTCTCGTGCATTGGAGTGTTTTGCTGTGGTCCTCCTCCAGCCAGCATCCTTCCATGGGGGAAAAAGTTCCAGAAACTAAGCAGTTGTGTCCTCAGAGAGTCTGCGTTCCCCTTTTATTTTTTATTAGTTATTTATTTGGCTGTGCCATGTGACTTAAGGAACTCAGTTCACTAACCAGGGATTGAACCCAGGTCATCGCAGTGAAAGCCTGCAATCCTGACCGCGGGGCCACAAGAGAACTGCCTGGATCCTCCTTTGAGACCATGCTTTGGATATCCAAAGCCCTGGAATCTCCCGATCAAATGACCCGAACCTACTTCCAGTACCTGTGTGGGCAGCTTCTCCCATCTACCTTTACGCCCCTGTGTGTACCTGTAGGTTGGCTAGGAGGCAGCTGTTTGGAGGGGCTGTGGGTGGAGCTTGGACATGTAAGAGGAATATGCCCATGCATCTGGGTGAGGCCCCTGGCTTGGGATGGAGCTGTGTTTGGGAAGAAGAGGAGCTGGCTGTATTTCTGTATAGACCTCCGAGAAGTCGGTCATTCTAAACTTGAACTTGGCGTCCAATGTCAGGTTCTTTTGAAGAACACGACAGAACAATACCGGTGTGGTAGGAGGCTGGGGGTACCTCGTGGGCAGGGGCTGCCTGGCGTGGACCCTGCCAGCCTATGGTACCAGAGCCTCTGTTTAGAAGGATTAAGGGCCGCTGGACCAAGCGGTCACATGGCTTCATCAGAGGTGTCATGACAAAGAAGCCTGGAGTCAGGCTCTGAATCCAGGTCTGTGTGAGTCTGACTTTCCTTCATGATGCTCCGGGCCACTCCCGAGCAACAGCCAGAGTATTGGCTCCCTGCAGTTCTCTCGGTTAGAAGGCTGAGTCCCGCGCGTCCCTCCTGGCTCAGTGGTAAAGAATCTGCCTTGCCGAGGCAGGAGACACGGGTTCGATCCCTGGTCTGGGAAGATCCACGGGCCTCAGAGAAGCTAAGCCTGGGCACCACCCGCATTGAGACTGTGTTCAGTGTCCGGGAGCCGCAACGACTGAGGCCGCGTGCAGAAACTTCTGGAGCCCACGCGGCCGAGAGCCCGCCCCTCCCCCACCCCCCAACGCCAGAAAAGCGACGGGGGCCCAGCACGGCCAAAAAAGTGAACACAATTATTCAAAGAAAAAGCAGGCTGTCCCACTGCGTCTGCGGGAGCGCGCTTCCCGGTGGAGAGAGCCTGCCTTTCCGGCGAGAGTGAGCTCCGTGTCGTCCTCGACTGCGCCTGCTTCGTGCGCCCGGCTCAGCTCGGCCCAGAGGAGGCCCTTGGCAAAGGTGGCTGAGCTGCTGGGCCGCCGCTGGTGAGCAGGGCGCGAGTCAGCCCTCGTGGTGCGCGGCGCAGGGGGCGAGAACTCTGGGTTGGCGGGCGGCTGTGGGGAAGGACCGGGAGGCCTTGCCTGGGGGGTGGCTGTCGGCCGAGTTGCTCTAGACCCCATTAGCCGGGGCGGCCGCGCTGTAGGACAGAAGAGTCCCCAGACTCACCTTTCCCGGTTGCCCTAATTCTCCAACCGCTCCCCCAGCCCTTGGAGACCCCATGGGAGGGAGGTGTTCGTGGCTTGCCCTCACCGTGTGTTCCCCCGCGGACCACACACTCTACTCATCTGCACAGCACAAACCGTCCCTTTCCCCGGCCATTCCGTGCGCCGAAGCCCCCGAATTCGCCAGGGAGCACGAGGGGCGTCGTGGGGGACGATGCAGGGAACCTCAGCTCCAGGACGCAGCTCGCAGACCCTCGTGTGGGTCCCAGTCCCGCGGTGGCGGTCAGGCCCCTGCTCCGGGATCGAGCCCCGGCGGCCCACCTGCGGACGGCTGTCTCGGTCTCCCAGCCCACTTTCCTCAACTCGTCCCCAAATGAATCTGCCCAAGGTGTCCTGCGACCACACACCCTCCTGCTCAGAAGGCTCTAGTGGCCAGGTCTGGCTGGCAAATGGTTAAATTTATTGGCTCTGAAATGCTCATTCAAATGGATAAGAGAAGCCTCCATCAGATAAGCAGGTGAAGGATGTGGACCAGTACTCCACCCTAGAGGATAAGCAGAGAGTAAACAAATACTTGGAAAATAGTTCAGCTGGTTAGTGATCAAAGAGATGCAAATGAGAACAGTATGCAGATTGCATTTCATACTTATTAAATTAGCAGAATTTACAACCCCCATCCCCCGGTGCTGGCAGGGTTGGATGAAGTCTGTCTTCTTCCATCTCTGGAAGCAGTGTGTGGAAATTCTGGAAAACAATCTAGCACAATGTAACAAGAGCCTTGAAAACATTATTACCTTTTGACCCATTAATCTCATCCCTGGGAATTGGTTTTAAGAGCGCAATTCAACAGAAGAAAAAAGCTCTGGGCACACCACTTTATTCTCCTGAGTTTCTCCAGGTAGAGAGATGGTTAAGAAAACCATGCCTAATGTAGTCAATGCAACATTATGCTGCCACAAAAATGATAATTATAAAGAATATGCAGAAGCATGGGAACTGTTCATAACATCATGTTTATTGAGAAAAAGCAGGATACACAATTTGCATGAACACTGTGAGTGCAACCACGAATAGTAAGTATTCATGTTGACGAAGTCTGGAGGAGAATATGCAAAATTGAAAATTATTTAAGGTTGGGGAAGTGATGAGTGGTTTTCCTTTTTGTTTAAGAATCATTCTTTGTTAATGTTGTTGAAGTGTTTTCACAACAGAATGAACACTATAAAAACAAAACCATTTTTATTGTTTATAGAATAAAGCCAGAACTCCTTAGCCTTCGCTTGCTATAATGATTACTTAAATATTAGTAATGGATGTAAAAATTTTAATTAATAATTAAATAATTTAAAAAATAGTGATCACATTTGTTAGTTGTTTACTACATTCCAGACAGTGAAGTGAGTGAGTCATCCATGTGATTTCATTGGATCTTCATGACAGCCCTGTGAATAAAAGCTAGTATTATTCTTATTTTACAGATTAGGGACCTGAGATCCTGTGACGTTAGGCCACCTGCATCTCTTTACACCCAGGGCTGTCTGAATCCACAGCTTGTGCTCAATCCCATTGACTGGCTCTGCATGTCACATCTTAAGGACCTTCAGTAACTAGTGTTTCACCATCATGATTTGGGAATAACTGTGGCTCACACAGGAGAAGGCGATGGCACCCCACTCCAGTGCTCTTGCCTGGAGAATCCCATGGACCGAGGAGCCTGGTGGGCTGCAGTCCATGGGGTCAAGGAGAGTCAGACACGACTGAGCGACTTCACTTTCACTTTTCATTTTCATGCACTGGAGAAGGAAATGGCAACCCACTCCAGTGTTCTTGCCTGGAGAATCCCAGGGACGGCGGAGCCTGGTGGGCTATATTCCCTGGGGTCACATAGAGTCAGACACAACTGGATTGACTGAGCCTACACGCACGTGGCTCATACATCATGTACTGCGATGTACTTAATTTTAAAATTTAGGGGATTTCCCTGGCAGTCCAGTGGTTGAGACACTGTGTTCCCAGTGCAGGGGCTGCTGGTTCAATCTCTGGCCGAGGAGCGAAGATCCCACATGCCCTGCTTCGTGGCCAAAAAATAAAATTTAAATCAACTAAATTTTTAGACATTTCAATGCCTACTCTGATATTCTCCTAAGCAAGAATCCCCTTCGAACCATCTGTTAAATGTATTGGTTGTATTTTCCAATATAAAGTAATACAAAAAATATTAATAGCATTAAAAAAAAATCACCTAAGGTCATCTTGTATACCTCTCTTGGGGGAAAAAAAAAAGAACTACCTTCTGCCACAGTTGGCCCCAGTCTCCTGTTCCAGTCTTACTTCTTCTGCAGCTCCCGCTGTTTCCGCTTTGGCCGTTGCTGAGGCTGGAACCCCTCCCAGGGCTCCCCCCAGCCCAGCTCCTCCAAGCCCTGCCCCGCGTATCCTCCCTTCTCCCAGCCTCAGTGCATCCCCAGGGCTTGCCTGAGCCAAATGCAGACCGAGCCATTAGTGGACAAAGAGAACACAGATTCAGAAGGCCGCCCATTACAATAATTAATTCCTGTTTAAGCTTTCCTGGTGGCTCAGAGCATAAAGAGTCTGCCTGCAATGCAGGAGACCGGGGTTCGATCCCTGGGTTGGGAAGATCCCCTGGAGGAGGGCATGGCAACCCGCTCCAGTACTCTTGTCTGGAGAATCCCAGGGACAGAGGAGCCTGGTGGGCTACAGTCCATGGGGTCGCAGAGTCGGACACGACTGAGCGACTTTACTTTATTAAACTCCCCACTGTGTGCCAGGCACATACTAGGCGCTTTATACATATGATGTCAGTCGGTGCTCTTCTTATTTTTTTTTTCCTTTTCCGAATCAGACTTCTTTTTGTTGTACTGTGTTAAGGACACTTAACATGAGATCTGCCTTCTTCACAGACTTTTTAAGGGGACGCGGCTAAATTATTATCTGTAGACACAGCGTTGCACAGCACACCTCTAGAACTCACTCATCTTGACCGACTGAGACTTTACTGCTGGCTGCTAATAATGGCCTTACAAAATGGATATAACATTTTAATTTCTGCTTTGTTAGGAAACCGAAGCCCGTACGGCTTAAGGTGTTTGCTCAGGTCACACAGTGGGTGAGTAACAGAGCCCAGATTCAAGTTGAATACTGTTTGACCCCTAGGTCCCTTCTGCCTTCGGGTCCTGGGTCTTATTAGTGATGAGGCTTACACAACAAACAGCCAACAGCTCTCTCCTCTGTGCCCTCCAAAGCGGGCGCATTCATTATGGATGGGGTTCTTAATGAGCACAGCCACTTAGGAAGAGAATTTGACAACAGCTATTAACTGTAAAATGCTGAAAAAAAAATAAATAAATAAATGTAAAATGCTCGTGGACTCCAAAATTCATTCAATCCAAGGGTAGGAAATTACCCTGCGGCTATTCGTGAAATGGACACGGAGATATCCGTAGTTTCGTAGTCAGTGTAGCCTTGTGTGTGGTGGCAGCGTGTGATGTAGGAAACAGAACCCAAGTATCATCGATAGGGATTGTTTATGCAAATGTTAGTACATCCATCAGAAAGAATGAAAAACGCCTGCAAGTTCTTAGGGGCTTCCCTGGTGGCTCCGTGGTAAAGAATCTGCCTGCCGGGGCAAGAGATGAGGATTTGATTCTTGCATTGGGAAGAGTTCCCTAGAGAACTTGTCTAGGGAACCATTCCAGGATCCTTGCCTGGGAAATCCCATGGACAGCGGGGTCTGGCAGGCTACAGTCCGTGGGGTTGCAAAAGAGTCCGACACTACTTAGCACAGGACTTAGCAACTAAACAACAACAAATATGTTCTGCGACTGCCCTGCTGGTCCAGAGGTTAAAAAAAAAAAAAAGAGAATCTGCCTGTCAATGCAGAAGACTTGGGTTTGATCCCTGGTCCTGGAAGATCCCACACGTCTTGGGGCAACTCAGCCTCTGCACCACAACTGCTGAGACGGCAGGCAGCAATAAAGACCCAGCACATTAATAATTATATATATATATAATACATATACACGCATATGTTCTTACGTGGAACAGTATCAAAGCAAAAAGTAGCAAAACAAAGTGCAGAACAGTGAGATAGTATGTTACCATTTGTATCAAAACCCTGTGAGATGAAATGCACACACAGTTATACACACATATACTGAAACACACATAGACTACCTCCGGAAGAACATAAATAAAGCAGGTAGGAGTTGCTGCCCAGAATTTGGTATTGGAAGGACTCCAGTTGAGCGGGAGTGAAGGGTCTGGCTGCAGGGTTTGTCTGGCCAGCAAACTGTGTGGGGTCTCAGGGTAATTTGAGGGGCTTGTGGATTAGAGATCTAGAGATGGTCCCACCCGGGCTGCCTCTCAGCCCTGCCCTGGATCCAGGAAGACTTAGGTGTTACTATGTAACCTTTTGTGCTGCTTGTGTTTTAAAACACTGTGCATGTATTGCCTGTTTAATAATGTAAAATTTAAAATTAAAAAAAGAAGAATTTCCTGCTTGAGGCAAGACCCACCCAAGCGATGGTGGCTCTCCAGGCTGCAGGACGTAACCCTTTGGGCACAGGCAGGACCCGGGCGCCTTGCCTGTTATTCTTTCAGTCGATGACCTTCTCCTGTCTCTTCTCTGGCCAGCAGCTGGGAGGCTTTGGAGGTGGGTTTTTGGTCAAGACACATTTCAGTGGCTTCTGTAAGTCTAAGGGCTTTATTCTAAGGTGGGGATAACGTATTCTTCACAGGATGGTTTGAGGGGACGGCAGCTGGTCCTGGGTGGCGCCTGACGTGGTCCAGGTGTGGGTTGGAAAAGAATTTCCAAACATGAGACAGAATGAGAGGGAAGTAAAGTTTATTAGAGCAGGAGACGTTGTGAGAACAGCAGGCCAGCTCAAGGGAGAACTGACCTTGAACAGGGGTCCTTAGTCCACTTTTATACCCAGGGTACAAGGGGTGGGGTAGGGGTCTGGCGGGTCATTTGCTGACTGGATGAGGCACGTATATGGAGCAGGGGGCAGAGTAAGGCAAATGCCTTCTCCCTACGGAGTAGGAGGGGAGACCGGTTATACTGCTCAGGAGGACCTGAAATCCATTAATAGTTACAACATGGGGCGGGAAGGACGATAAGGGTCTGGTTTTCCTTTCCTGCATTCCAGGACCCTCCTTGGTTTCATCTGCTCTTTCGTCCTGGTTCATCACAGTATCCAGAGGGGACAGGCCAGTGGGGGGACCACTTTATGTACGACCTTGGGAAAATGTTTATGCTGAGTTGTGAGAGGGTCAAACTAGAAAACAGTGGGAATGGGAAGGGTGCCCCTCATCCAACAGAGTATTTTACAGAAAATCCAACCCACACCGGCTTAACCGGGTCTCCTTGTCCTTTG